TTACATCAACTTCTCCTCAGAAACCATGCAAGCAAGAAGAGAGTTGAGTGAAATGTTTAAAGCGCTGAGAGAAAAAAACACCAAGCTAGAATTCTATATCCTGTGAAATTATCCTTCAAAAGTGAAGGAGAAATATAGACATCTCAGACAAAGATTGAAGGAATTTGTTGCCAGTAGATCTGATTTGCAAGTAACATTAAAAGAAGTTCTTCAGAGAGAAGGAAAATGATAGAGTCAGAAACTCAACTACATAAAGAGCATCAGAGAAAGGATGAATGAAGGTAAAATAAAAACTTTTATTTTTCCTTTTCTTAGTTGATCTAACAAATAAGTTTGTTGAAAATAATAACAGCAACAACGTATTAGATTACTTATGCAAATATGTATATACATATATATGCGTGCATGTGTGTATACACATATATTCATTCCCCTTGGATTGCCCATATATATCATATGAATGAAGCAATGATGCAAATGACACAAAAAAACAAGAGGGAGGAATTGGGATTATTTTGTTATTATATGGTACTGGCACTGCTGTCAAGTGGTATGATGGTCTTTGAAAATGGACTTGGATTAGTTGTAAATATATACTGGAAGCTTAGCCACTAAAAAAAGTAAAAAGAAGAAATATAATAGACACGCTAAGAAAAGAGAGAAAATGGAATCATATAAAATTCTCAATTAAAACCACAAAAGGCAGAAAAAGAGTAAAAGACAAAAATAGGAAAAAAGAACAAGAGCAATGAATAGACACAGTAACAAATATGGTAGATATTAATCCAACTATATTAATTATCACTTTAAATGTTAATGGTCTAAATACATCAAGTAAAAGGCAGTGGGAGTAGCTATATTAATTTTAGACAAAGCAGACTTCAGAACAAGAAAAGTTAGGACGGATAAAGAGGGGCATTACATAATGGTAAAGGGGTCAATACTCCAAGAAGACAACAATTCTTAATGTGTATTCACCTAAGAACAGGGCAAACAGAAGAAGCAAAAACTGAAAGAACGGCAAAGAGAAATAGATGAATCCACTATTATGGTTGGAGACTTCAACATCCTTCTATCAGAAATGAACAGATCAAGCAGGCAGAAAATCAGTAAGTACACAGTTGAACTCAACAGCACCCTCAATCAACTGGATAGAACTGACATCTACAGACTACTTCATCCAACAACAGCAGAATACACATTCTTCTCAAGCTCACATGGAACATTCACCAGGACAGATCACATTCTGGGCTATAAAACACACCTTAACAAATTTAAGAGAACAGAAATCATATAATGTCTGCTCTCAGACAACAATGGAATTAAACTAGAAATGAATAACATGAAGATAGTTGGAAAATCTCAAAATACTTGGAAATTAAACAACACACTTCTAAATAACATATCGGTCCAAAAATAAACCTCCAGAGAAATTTAAAAATATTTTGAACAAAATGAAATGAAAATACAACTTGTCAAAATTTGTGGGATGCAGTGAAATTAGTGCTTAGAAGAAATTTATAGCAATTTACAGCACTTGCTTCCAGAAGATAGAAGCAGAGGAAACACTCATTCTATGAGGCCAGCATTACCCTAATATAAAAAATCAGACAAAGACATTACAAGAAAAAAAAACTAGAAGGCAAGATCTCTTATGAACAAAGATGCAAAAACTCTCAACAAAATATCAGCAAATCGAATCCAAAAATGTATAAAAAGAATCACACACCACGACATAGTGGGACTTAGCCCAGATATGCCAGGCTAGTTTAACATTCAAAACTCAATTATGTCATCTATCACATCAACAGGCTAAAGAAGAAAAATCACATTACCGTATCAATAGATGCAGAAAAAGCATTTGACAAATCCAGTGCCTGTTCATGATAAAAAAACTCTCAGCAAACTAGGAATAGAGGGTAACTTCCTCAACTTGGTAAATAGCACCTACAGAAAACCTGTAGCTAACACCATACTTGACGACAGAAGCTTTTCCACTAAGATCAGGAAGAAGGCAAGGATATCCTCTCTCACCATTCATTTTCAACAACATACTGGACATCCTAGCTAATGCAATATAAGAAAAGGAAATAAAAGGTATATAGATTGGGAAGGAAGAAAACTGTCTTTGTTTGCAGATAACATGATTATCTATGTAGAAAACCCAAAAGAATTGGCAAAAATACTCCTGGAACTAATAAGTGATTATAACAAAGTTGCAGGATATAAGGTTAATATACAAAAGCTAATCACTTCCCTATATACCAACAATGAACAAGTAGAATCTGAAATTAAAAACACAATACCATTTACACTACCACCCCAGAAATGAAATACTTAGGTATAAATCTAACAAAATATGTACAAGATCTATATGAGAAAACTGTAAAACTCTGATGAAGGAAATCAATGAAGAACCAAATAAATGGAGAAATATTCTAAGTTCATGGATAGGAAGACTCAATATTGTCAAGATGTCAATTCTTCCCAACTTGAACAATTGATTCAACACACTCCCACTCAAAATCCCAGCAAGCTATTTTGCGGATATTGACAAACAGATTCTAAAGTTTATATGAAGAGGCAAAAGATCCAGAATAGCCAACACAATATTGAGGGAGAAGAACAAAGTCGGAAGACTGACAATATCTTACATCAAGACTTACTATAAAGCTACAGTACTCAAGAAAGTGTGGTATTGGCAAAAAAAGAAACAAATAGATCAATGGAAGCGAATAGAGAGCCTAGAAATAGACTCACAGATTCAATTATCTTTGGCAAAAGAGTAAAGGTTATACAATGGAGCAAAGATAGTCTTTCCAACAAATGGTGCTGGGACAACTGGATACCTACAGGCAAAAAAACAAATCTAGACACTGACCCCATACTCTTCACAAAAACTACCTCCAAATGGATCTTAGACCTCAATGTAAAATGCAAAACTATAGGTGAAAATCTAGATGACCCTGAGTAGGGTAATAACTTTTTAGATACAGCACCAAAGGCGTGATCCATGAAAGAAATAGTAAGTTGGACTTCATTAAAATTAAAACGTTCTGCTCTGTGAAAGACACTGTTAAGAGAATGGCAAGGCGAGACACAGACTGGGAAAAATATTTGCAAAAGACATATCTGATAAAGGACTGTTACCCAAAATATACAAAGAACTCTTAAAATCAAGAAAACAAACAACCTGACTAAAAATGGGCAAAAGGCCTAAACGGGCACTTCACTAAAGAACATATACAGATGGCAAATAAGCATATGAAAAGATGCTGAACATCATACCATTAGGGAATTGCAAATTAAAATGACATACCACTACACACCTAATAGAATGGCCAAAATGTAAAACACTGACAACACCAAATGCTGACAAGGATAGAGAGCAACGGGAACTTTCATTCACTGGTGGGAATGCAAAATGGTATAGCCACTTTGGAAGATAGTTGGTGGCCTCTTACAAAACTAGACATACTCTTACTGTATAATCCACAATTGGGCTCCTTGGTATTTACCCAAAGGAGTTGAAAACATATGTCCACACAAAAATCTGCACACAGATGTTTACTGCAGTTTTATTTATAATTGTCAAAACTTGGAAGCAACCAGTAGGTGAATGGATTAATAAACTGTAGTACATCGAGACATGGAATATTATTCAATGCTAAAAAGAAATGAGCTATCAAGCTATGAAAAGACATGGAGAGACTTTAAATCCACATTACTGTGCAAGAAGCCATTCCGAAAAGGCTACATACTGTTTGATTCTAACTATAAAACATTCTGGAAAATGAAAAAAACTAGAGAGACACTGAAAACATCAGTGGTTGCCAGGGACTAGAGGGGCTGGAGAGAGGGATCAACAGAGGATTTTAGGACACTGAAACTATTCTGTATGACACTGTGATGATGAATACATGTCATTATACACTTGTCCAAACTCAGAGAATGTACAACAGCAAGAATGAACCCCAATGTAAACTATGGATTTTGAGTAATAATAATGTGTAATGAAGGTTTATCAATTGTAACAAATGTACCACGGAATATTGAGAGTGGGGGAGGCTGTGCATGTGGGGGGTCAGGGTGTATATGGGAACTCTGTGTATTTTCTGCTCAATTTTGCTGTGAAACTAAAACTGCTCTAAAACAGTCTATTGAAGAAAAAAAAAGTGGGGTAGATGAGCTGATTCCAAAGGAGGAATACGTGAACTGCTGCCTAGAGCATTTCTACCACGAAGAAACAGAGCTAAGGAATCAGGCCTCTAGATAAGGTCTGACCTTCTTAGAGAGCAAGTCCGGAGGCTCTCTTTACTCTTGCCCCACCTGCTCTTCCCTCCATAAACACCATGGTTACTTTCGAGTAACCAACACCTCCTCTCTGCCCCATAAGAGTCAGAGTCCACTTTTACAACTTGCTTATCGTGAAAGCAAATTCAATGAGATGATAACACTGTCAACTCCAAGGCTCCAGGACCTGAGCTCAGAATTACCAGGACCCACAATCTGTCCCGTCCTGGCTCAAAGGCCACCTTCTGCTGAAAAAAATTATTATTAGGGAGATTACCTATCCAGCAGGTAGAGGAATACAGATGGGCCTAGAATCTCACAGGAAACTCCACCACTTCAACATCAAAGCCAAAAGGGACAAGTTCAGCCCTGCTCCAAACTTTCCAAAAGGGACTCCTAAAGGCTTGAATCTGGCACAAGCAGAATCAGAATAAGAAGATCAATGCAAGGAATTCCATATCGCACCCAAACAAATTTCCTTGGGGGGATCTTATCTTTTCCTTTCAGGATTTCAGTTTTCCCATCTGTACAATGGTTTTAAGCTTTTCTAGAAAATTTGTAGATCAATACACACATTTTTTTAGTTTATGTGCATTTTGGCTTTTCTCTATTCGCATGAAAAATTAAAGTTAGTAGTGATTCCCTGACCCTCTCCCCAGTGCTCCCCACCAACAGCTGCTAAAGTAAAGAATCCTTCCACCACCATAGACAATTTACTCTTTATTGATTAAAAATGAAGGAAACATGCAGCAAAATACAAAGTCAAAAAAGGGGGGGAGTCAAATATTTTACATCTTCCATAATCTAGCATACATCATAAGGAGAAACCTCCATTTATTGATACACCATTATTCTATCTTCCAGATTATTAAATAGTATCAGCTGGCTCTAGAATTTGGTTCAACACTTAAGCAAAAAACCCAAATAAATCCATTAGTCATTTAGAAAGACCATACATTTCACAAATAGCATTGGCACATGTTACCTGCTAAGTTAGTCCCTGCCCCAGGGACCAGGGAATCCTGGGGACCCAGGGACACAGGTGCACCCCGAACCACCACTCCTGGAAAGGAGCGAGGGTGCTCAATAGGTCACGTGCTGTCCCACCTGGGAAGTTTCTGTTCACTTATTTTCTCAGCATCACTGCACAAGTCAGCAAAGGGAGTCCACCATTCATCATGCAGAAGAAATAACACTGTCCTGGGGCTTGGTGTCTGACTCCTAATTCCCAGCAGGGCAAAAAATGAACTGAAAAGAAAGAGAAAGCCCAAGCCCATTTCTATTGTCATGCTTGTCCCACTGCAGTTCAAACGTAATGGACAGCTGGAGAAACTGAACAGGAGGATGGGCTGCTGCTTCCTCCCAGCCTGGGCTACAGACCACCTCCAGACAGAACGCTAGAATAGAGTGATGCCAACACCCCTTGGACTCAGAAATAAGTAGATCATGATGGGCTTGTTTGAAACCAAAAAGACTCTAAGGTAAGCTATTAGTCTTGTGCCAAAGGGGACACTGTCTCTTTTTCATACCTTATTCCTACCTCCTTGTCCACATTCCCCCCCCAACCCCCCTCCAAAAAAAAAAAAAGCTAAATATTTTTTCAGCAAGCTGATCAATCTTTTCTCTCTCCAGGTTCAGCAGGCTCCCTCCTTTTACCAATCCTGCTGGGACCATGGACTTTGGTGTCTGTGCCTCTAATCTACTTTGTTCCCAATCCCCACTCCCTCTCTTCCTCCCCAACATCTATCCCTTTCCCAACATGCCTTTGCATCCAGGGCAGGTGAAGACAGCCCATGACTAAAACTACAAGCTCAGAATGAAACAAAAACTGTGACAAGTCAGTTGTGGGCAAAGCTTTCAGAGATGCTCCAAGAGAAAATTAGATAAAGCAATCTTGTTATTCACAGACCAACAACACTGGAAAGGGCTCGAATGATTCTCTAGGAGGGAACTCTCCCTTTTCCATGGGGCCAAAACCCATCTTTGTGTGTTGTCTTAAGGCCAGATTGAGTATCCCTTTCATACACAAAATTTGTTAGGGCTATTTGCAGTTAGACAAAGGCAGTATCCCTTTCATACACAAAATGTTAGGGCTACCTACAATTAGACAAAGGCTGACTGTGAAACAGTAGGAAAAAAAAATCAACCCCACTGATTATTCACATATTGCATTATGAGTGCTCTTTTTTAAACCTAAAGAATAATTTATATTATTTCTGTAGAAAATCAAATGAACAGTGTCTACTCATAAATCCTAAAAGTCATGGCACGTGTGGTTTCACTTTCCGTCTTGGGTCAGGTTCAGCACACAGAAGTGTGGACCCCCTCCAAAGGGTCAGTGCAGGAGAGGGGGCAGAAGGCAGACCTCCCGGCCCAGTGTGAGTCTCCTTTATTGCTGCAGAAATCTCAGCCTTGCATTTCCTCATGACTTGGAGGCCAGGCAAATTGATTTCCAAGGGAGGATCAAGGAGCAGTTTCTTCTTCAATTTAATTTTTTAAGATTTGAAAATAAATACTTCCAAAATGATATGAGTTACGATTTCTCCTGTTCAAAAACCACTGCTGGGAAAATTCACTTTTACAAGCCACTTTTACACTTTTACTTGATGTTTTCTCTAAAAACAGTCCAAAGTTCCACTTTGAAGGATCCGATGGCTGAAGTTCGACTCCAGTCAGATGTTTTGCACCAGCTGAAGTTAAGGCTAGCAACCCTTTCTGGAGGGAGTAATGAAGAGGGGTGCCTGAGAGCAGCTTCAGCAAAACGCTTAGAAACATCATGAACAAAACAAGAACACAGTTTAGGCTGCCTCCATCTGAGGCTGTGCTTTTTCCTAACAAAGGTTCCTAGAATTCACATCAGATACCAAAAAAAAAAAAAAAAAAAAAAAAAAAATCACTAAATTAAATTCTCTGGGCTCCAGCTGAATAATCAACTTTTAATTGCTACTTCAGTGGTAAAGAGCTATCCCAAGATGCCCACAGCCTCTCAGGTGTGGGAGAACAGGCAGAATGAGGAAGCCCAATATAGCTGCTACTTTCCACCCAGCGCCATCATTGGAGTAAGGCAAGATGAGCTGACAGATCTCCCTCCTGGGCCTTGAGGCACATGGGCCACTTCTCAGATGGAGGAAGAGAGGGAACGTGCACTAAGTTTACTAACGGAACTCTTTGAAGGGATGCTGTCCACTGGTGATCCAACTTTTCTTTCCGTGTGGGGAAAAGGGGGAATGATGGCAGGAAGAACATAAAGAAAGACCTCTAAAGCTGCTAGCTGGGAGGTTTGTTGCTGGGTTCTTTGGCAGTAGTGGGTTTAGGCCAACAGAAGCAACAGAGATACACACGTGTGGAATCTCCTCAGGCTGCCTTTTCCAGGGCTGTGGTTTAGCTGATGCTGAGTTGGGCAAATCCTATTAGTTTACCGTCATCAGGAATATCTGAGCCTTCGACACCAGATGCCTAGGAACCAAACAGAATGAGAAACTGGCTAGTGATAAATAAAATTGCAGGCAGCAATTAAAACTGGTATGGGGACTATGGGAAGGAAGGCAGTAAGGGGCAGGTCCCTGGGACACAAACAGGAAGCAGATGAAGGTGTCTCCAGAAAAGGTAGGGACTAGGTACACAGCTGCAGTCGGAATGGGTAACAATCTCTCTTGAGACTAGTCAAGGGCCTGGGATAGGAGGTTTCCTGGGAGAGAGAGAGGAAGGGAGGCCACTCAAAGGCAGACGTCAACCCAGGGTCTTGGGAAGGCTAAATGAACACAATTCACCATATTTTAACATTCTCATCACTCAGGGAATATAGAATCTGGTATGTAGAGGCTGCTGGTGTGTAAAAAGTAAGATGGTTAATAAGGAGGAAGGGATGAATACCAGTTTGAAAGTGACAGATCGATTTGACTGAGGTTCTTCCACAATTTTCTGCAAATTAGCTGCCACTGTAATCAAACAAACAGAGAAAGTAATGAGAAGCTAAGTAAATCCACTTTCAATCCTATTTTAAAAACTTAAATGATCTTCTATGTCAATCAAAATGGAAGCAGAAAGATAAATCACTCCCCGAACGAAAGTTATCTTTTAAACTCAACTCCAAGTAGCACAAAGAAATTTTGAATCGCTGTCAAATTAACTTTCTTTAAGATGCTTTTTTTTTTGGTTTTGTTTTGTTTTTTGAGGAAGATTAGCCCTGAGCTAACATCTGCCGCCAATCCTCCTCTTTTTGCTGAGGGAGACTGGCCCTGAGCTAACATCGGTGCCCATCTTCCTCTACTTTATATGTCGGATGCCTGCCACAGCATGGCTTGATGAGCGGTGCCATGTCTGCACCTGGGATCTGAACTGGCGAAACCCGGGCCGCCGAAGCGGAAGGTGTGAACTTAACCACTGTACCACTGGGCCAGCCCCTAAGATGCTGTATTAACTTAGGAAAGACACTCAGTTGAAAGAGGTATGATTTGCCTATTCATGGACCAGAAAGCCCAAGACTGGGAGTCAGAAAACTACGGCCTGCGGCCTGCTTCTATTCTGCCTGTGAGCTAAGAATGGTTTAAAAACGACACAGACTTACATGGCTCACAAAGCCTACACTATTTACTATCTGGCCCTTTACAGAAAAACTTTGCTGACTTGCCCTAGACAATGGTCTTTTCCTTTAGTAATATGTACCTGTGGCCTGACGGTGCCTTTTCTTACTTCTGCTTTTTTCTAGGACTAAATGTCTAATGGTTTTTGCTTCCCCCTTAGCTCCACAAGGGTATAGTTCATCCTCCAAAAGGGATTAGATATGGCCAAGCTTACTTTAACCTGTGACTTCTGTTGTCACTTCTACCAGAGTCTCCCAGAGACCTGGGTGTGCTTTCACTTACTATCATCAGGGGTTGCAAAGCAAACTCAGAAGTGAAATTTCCTTTTTCGGAAGGAACTGTCCCCAGTACCTGTCCCCAATATTTCAGCAAAACCAAGAACCATTGGACCTGCTCAGTGGAATCAAAGTCTGGTTTTCTGGGTCCTAAGTACATGGACAGAGACACAGGGACACAAGGGCAGAGCACAAAGTAGTTACCTATTACTAAATCTCTTCCGTCGACCAGGCCAGCAGAAATGAGTTCCTGAGACACACCCTCTGCTGTATCTGCAAAGACAAAGTACTCTGTTTCTTAGATGTGCACGTGACTGGTAACTCTCCGAGCAGGTGCCGGCACTGCCACACCCAAGCTAGTTGCTAACTCACTAACAGTATAATTTAGATGGGCCCTTGTCAGAAGAGCACCTGACAGTGACGCTTCAGAGGAAACTCCTATTCCAAGTGTAACCCTGTACCCAAGCCCTGTGACCTCTGAGACATGATGAGCATACAACATCTCCAGGGTTAATAAAGCAGAATGACTTTTTTCTCAATTAAATCTTGAGAGAACAAATTGAAATCTCTTCTCCTTTGGGATTACACTACATGTTTTTTGCTAAAATCATTTTCTTTTCATTCTAGTGGGCTTTTCTTCATGTCTAATTATTCCAGGTGGTACAATCTGAGCAGTGGGTACAACTAGAAACTAAAGATGAGGACAGAGAATCCTCAATCAACCTCAGCTCGCACTGACTCAGTAGTGCTGCTTCCCAAGGACTGAACACTGTGCCCGTCAGAGGGAACAGGAGGAGCCCTGGGTAAAAGGTGTGCACACACTTGTGCGGATGACCAGCAATTTGAGTTAGTTCTTTAAAATGTGACTCTGCCTGGCTTTTAAAAAGTAAAACAGATAGACCTCTGTACATCTGCATCTGCTCTCTTTGATACTTAGTTGCTGATGTTATTGAGACAGCAGGAAGAGGTAAGCATGGCACACAGGACAGAGATCTGCTGGCTGCTGGCCACTTCCTAAATCTGAACCCTGAGTAACAAAGGCGAGAGAGAAAACAAGTCTTGTCCCCGGGAGAAGTTCATGGCCAGAAACTATGTACGACAGAGCTCAGCTTCAGCCAGGGGAGAGAAGCAACTAGAAGCCTTGTTTCTTCTGGAGTCACTGAGGACAACCATGTTCGGTGATAAGGGCAAGAACTCGGCACTCTGACGGATCTGGGTTTGAATTTCAGCTACACCTCTTCCCGGCTGTGTGAATTGCAGTAAATCACGTCACCTCCCTCTAAGCCCTGATTACATCAACTATACAATGTGGATCATAATCTTTCCTCAGAAGGCTGTTTTGAGAATTTAATGAGACAATGTTTAGTACAAGGCCTGGCCTATAGTAAGCAGTAAATTAGAGCTATATTCATTACTGTTTGTATTATACTAGGTTTTCTAAATGAGGTGAGTAGTAAATAAATAGCATTTTTATTTTATTCATATGCCCCCCCAAACCTTTTAAACCAGAAACATTTTTATCATTCTTTAAAAGTAAAATATATCTAAAGGACAAACTCTTCATGGCACATTTCATTAAATAACAAATCAGAAGTTATTTTGTTTTCAATGTTTTTGATGCCTTACCTCTCCCAGGAGTAAATTCAAATCGAATATCATTTAGTTCTTTTTTTGAATTCCTATGAAAGAAAACAGAACGTGTAAAATAATTTCTGAATTTATGAATACAGACTCTGCCCACATATACTAGGAAAGCTATGCCTCAAGAAAGACTGCTCTACTCCGACAGATCACATGATTTGTCCTAATGAGCTCACACTGCAGGCCTCAGAGCAAACACCTCAGAGTGATCATCTAATTGTTCTACAACCCTTTTAACTTAAGTTCTCCATTGAGCAATATAAAGATCTCATGCTTTTGAGGTGATTCTTATATGCCTACTCCCATCCTTATTACCACTAAGGTGATGAATAAAACCCAGAGGGAATCTGTACAAGCCTAGGGAGGGTGATTAAAATGATACAGGATGCCCTCTTCACCCTTATCCCCGCTCCCACCTCCACACCCCGTAGGCCTAGGAGAGCACCTAGGAGAACACTGGTGATGAGTGTCGGCAGTCTCAGAGAATGAAATACATCATAATCCCCTAAATTCTACAGGAGTTCAGAGGATGAGGATGAAGAATACATAGATTGGGATAATGAGGAAAACTTCAGAAGTAGTTTTTAGATAGGACTTAATAGATAGGTAGGATTTGGGCAGGCAGAGAAGATGGGGAAAGAAATTGGGTCCATACTGGCAGCAGAGTTAATATATGACTCCAGAGATTCAAACATGTGACCACTGAGGGACAGTTACAGCAATCACTCACCACACCATGTACTGAGATTACCAGGCTCCCTGCAGGTCTGGTTGAAGGTGGAGAAATTAGAACATTATGTCTAAAGGGAGACATGCCTGATGACTGAGGACCCAAATCCATTTTACCTAAACAATGCAGAGGGCTTAGGTCTATTTGACAAATGCTTGAGGATGTTACTGAAATTGTGCTTAAAATACATCTACCACCTCCAACATAACCTGCCCCAAAGTGATTTTTCCCTCACATTGCTTTCTCTCTGCACTGGTATACACAGACTAACATTTCTGCATGTATACTACCTGAAATTTGTTTTCAGCTATGTTAAATACATAAAACAAATCAACTTCCCACCTAGCTTTGATTATCAAGTGAGGCATTTCATTTTCTTTTTTCTTGGTATTCTTCCACAATAGCTAAGAGTGCTATACATAGTCTACTTAATATATAATTATTCAATCTATTCTTTCTGAAAACTGAATAATTAAGATAGAATGTTCAGTGTCACTTTAGTGATTTAACTGGCATGCCAAGCACAAACATCTTCAGAGACAACAATATGCTAAACTGGATTAAATGTGCCTATCATCTCTTCTAGACATTTAACTTCAAAGTCCTCTTCAGTGAGAATAAGTATCCAGCTTCCTCTTCCACAAACAAGTCTAGAACATAGTCCATTAAAAAATTACCCTCTCAAAAAGCTAACTACATCACTTAGAAGTATCTTCCCCACCTTCCTGAAGCACATGCCAAATAGAATTCTTACACTATTAACTGCTATAAGATTTCAAAACAAATTTTTAAAAAGAGACAAGTAGTATTCCTCATGTACAATTAAAATAGGATGAGAGTACTAAGACATTCTATTAATTCAGAACTATCTGAGATGAGACTAGGTATACTGAGCAGGCTTCTGGAAAGGAAAGGTAGCCAAACCTGCTGTTTTCACACTTATGGCATGATTTAATTGCTCCTAGTGGTAAAATCAAAACATTCTCAAAACAGCTCTTACTGCCTCTATCTCTAATTATAGTCACACTGAGAAAAAGACTAGGAATTCACATGTGGAAGGAGGAATGAGTCAAGGGTAATTCAGTGGAACTCTTTAAAAATGTTAGTAATAATTAAAGAAGGCCTGAACTATCTCAGGTGATGCCTTTAACATTTATTGTTTTTCAAATGCACTTATGAATAGAAAGAGACCTAATTAGAGCAATACAACAGCCCTAGCTATTCTGACAAGAAAGCTCTGGAATCCTAATCCAACTACCTGCAAAGGAAGAGAGTTAAAATAAACCTATTACCACCTGTCGTACTTCCTGTGAGCAACCTGTTAGGGCCTCTCTATATGAACCATCAATTTAGAACACCTGCTGTAAAACAGAGACGGATCAAAAATATACTTAGAGGTTTTTCCTTTCATCTTTTAAGAACAAGGCCTTTATTTGATCTATCACAATTAGAAAGTGCTCCATTCTTGGGTTAGTTGATCTCAGAGTCCACAATACTTATATGGTCACAATTATAAGACTAATCTTCAGATAAGCGAACTAGTGGCCCTCCCCTAAAAACTCTTCCTCAATTAAAGACTACACTCCTAACCTAAACTAGCTATCTTGCAAACGCATAAATTTGTCACTACTAGTGGAAAAACAACTAAGAGAATGTGTGTTTCAGTTGCAGGACCTACTAACATCCAGGTCCTCACACTGTTGCTATTATTTCTGAGGGAAATACACCTGCAAGCAAATAGCACTTGATGCTGGGAAGACACACAATCTTATCCAGTTACTGTCAGGCACAGACTATTAGAAAAATGAGTAACTTTCAAAGAGAAAACAGCATATGCAGAGTATTCAGAAAACAAAAAAAGGTCTATTTACCTTAATCTTAGTACTAGACTGATTGGGATCTTGGTTTCTTGTGAACCTGCTCCTGAAGACAGAGCCTAAAAAGCATTGAAAGTTATAAAGTCAGTGCCTGGACTATTAAGCACGGATGCGATTAACGGTCATCTGCAGAGGACTGTGCCCTTGGCCTCAATTCTCTTCATCTCCAGGTGAGGTCAGCCTAGTCCCTAGGACATTCCCTGCTGTGGGAGGACATGCATTCCAAGGCAGCAACAAGAGCTGAATGTCAGCTTGAGTCAAACACAATTAGAAAGATGATTCTCAAACCTACATGAAATTCCAAACAAAGCCACATTTAAATTTTGTATTTTTGAGATCCCTGCTCCTTTCTACAGGGGTGAAAAGCATGAAGCTAGATTTTTCCTTTTAAAAAATACGCCAGTGTACTATATAAGACAACACACAAGGTAAGGTCTAAACTGACTGCCCCTTAGGAGTCCACCCAACCGGAGGGTCCAGGTCTTTTAATGGCTAAACTAATCCTCTCAAAACTGTACAGCTATCCCTTGCTCACTGAAGGATATATATTCTATTTAAGTTGTTTAGAAAATGAATTCAATCTTTTCATCAGTTTTCAGAAGACAACTGTATCTTTTTCCATATGATGGGCAGAAATGGAATGCTGGGGCTTTAAATAAAGTCAGTGCCATGAATAACGGGAAGGGCTCAGAGCAGTGTTCTCCAAAGGCAGAACACAAGATGAACCACCGGGGTGCAAAAGAAAAAAATCAGAACTCCCAGTTTTATTTCTTTCCATCTAAAATGTTAGGAAAAAAAAGAAACCGCTAATATTTAATAAATAGAGTCTGAAAGCCCTATCTTACCCCCATGGAGCATAAGGCCACATGTTGCTTACAGCATTTGAGTTTCCTGAAGGAGGAGTGGGAGCTACATAGCATGAGGGGTTCACAGTGGGGCCCTCATTCCCTCAGCTGCTTTCGGTATACTATAATTTTTTTTTTCTGCTTTATCTCCACAAATCCCCCTGGTACACAGCTGCATATCTTAGCTGCAGGTCCCTCTAGTTGTGGCATGTGGGACGCTGACTCAATGTGGCCTGACGAGTGGTGCCCTGTCCGTGCCCAGGATCCAAACTGGCAAAACCCTAGGCCGCCACAGTGGAGTGCGCGAACTTAACCACTCGGCCACGGGGCCCGCCCCAGTGTACTATGATTTAATGAAGTTTGTGCATGCCTCAGTAAGTGGATTTATAGATTACATTACTTAATTTCAACAAAATCAACCCTTACAAAATCTGACAACTACCTTAAGAGTAATACAGGAAAACTGGATTGGAGATAGTAAATAACATAAGCATAAATGAACAAAAAGAAACAGAAGAGCTGACAATTCCAGTCTCAGGATGAATTCCATCAGCTGCATTATGAAGTTAAACATAATAATGATCAAAGCTGACAAGAAATCAGCCCCCCCAAATTTTGATGTTTGGAATGTTTCCATCATCAACTTATTTTGTTGCTTAAAAACCTATGCGGTTCTTGTAAAACTCGTATCTGCACACATTTAAAACAGTGAAAACAGAATTTCTAACTTGTTTCAAAATCTACCACTCATCAACCATATTACATTATGTTGCGTTCACCACTTCTCTTTCTTCATCTATCCAGAAGGCTGACAATTAAAGCATATCCTTGCTTTACCTGAGCTGTTTTTGCTGGCTCTGCAGGGGGTGGGAGGGAAACTTGAGTTGGTTGTGCAGGCATCTGCCCAGCTGGCTGAGGTAGATGAGCGGAAATCTGTTCTGGAACTTGGAGCAAAGTACCCACGGGATCAGTTGCTGGAAAGAGCTGTAACAAAAACAAACATACAGTGTTGCTTAAGTTGAGTGGAAGAGAAAGCAAATCTACTGACAGGCAAGCAGAGTCTCATGTGTGTGAGATATTTTCAGAGGAGTTTTTGTGTAGTGTCCTGGCATATCTCTACGTCTGTGAACACATCTATTCCAAATGGAAGGCAAATATTTCCAGGCATTTTTGTTTTTAATAGCATTTTGAGGTGTAATTTATATCATGCTTAATTCACTTAAGTGTGCAATTCAATGACTTTTAGAAAAATTATACTTGTGCAAACATCACCACAATCTAGTTTTAGAACATTTCCATCCACTCAGAAAGTTCTCTCATGCCCACTTACAGTTAATTCCTGCTCCACTCCCAGCTCTAGGCAAACAGTGATCTACTTTCTGTCTCTATCAATTTGTCTTTTCTGGACATTTCATATAAACAAAATCATAGGATTCACATTCTTTTGTGTCTGGCCTCTTTCACTTAGCATTGTTTTGAGGTTTAGCCATGTTGTAGCATATATTGTCAGTTCACTTTTCTTTTCAGAATGGCAGTTCATTGAATCATATTTATTCTTAACTACATCTATTCTATCCTCTTTACCTAGCAAAAAAGCACCTCCAAAATACAGATTCAAGTACATAATACAAAATTATGGAAGCTACATTTTTCCATGGCTGGGGACCTTCCACTACTTATAAAGACAAGCAACCATTAATTCCTTAATGTATCTGAAAAGCTTTTCAAAATGGGTATGAAGCTTTATAACTAACATAGACATTATATATATTATCTTGCATGTTTGAAATAGTTCAAATTTTAATTATGTAGCTTGGAGAAAAAAGACATGTTGAGTACAAAATCAAGTTAAATATATTCAAAATTATAAGTTAGTGAAAAAAATCAATGCAAAGGCTAAAATTCAGAATTAAAAGAAAAAAAATTTCAAGGGCAATAAGAGGTCTAATAGCTGATTATTACATAAGTAAAATCAAGGAAACACGAAGCAAAATTTTATGTTCATTAAGCTTCTTATAGAGAAAAATCAGAAGTTACTCACTGGTTCTGGATTTTGATAGGAAAATAGAACTTTAAGATGAGTTTTGAAAATGTTAATATAATTATTAGCACTATTTCAAAAGAGTAGTTAGCTTCCAAATTGCATGCACATATATGTTTACCTATAATAAAGACAGAAAGGTTATACAAAACAAAGTAATGAGAGGATGTGGACAAATTGGAACCTTGTGCATTGCAGGTGGGAATGTAAAATAGTGCAGCCACTATGGAAAACAGCATGATGGTTCCTCAAAAAATTAAAAATAGAATTACCATATGATCCAGCAATTCCCTTCTGGGTGTAGACCCAAAAGAATCAAAATCAGGAACTCAGATATTCATGCACCCATGTTCATAGCATTATTCAAAACAGCCAAAAGGTGGAAGCAACCCAAGTGTCCATCAACAGATGAACAGATAAACAAATGTAGTGTGTGTGTGTATATATATATATACACACACACACACATACACACGCACACATATATATACACAAACACACAATAGAATATTGTTCAGGCTTAAAAAGAAAGGAAAATCTGATACACACTGCAATATAGATGAACCTTGAGGACATTATGCTAAGTGAAAATAATCCAGTCACAAAAGGACAAATACTGCATGATCCCAGTTATACGGGTGGTACCTAGAGTACCACCTGCCTCAAATTCAGAGACAGAAAGTAGACGGTGCTTGCTAGAGGCTGGACGGAAGAGAGAATGGGGAGGCATTGTTTAACGGGTAGGGAGTTTTAGTTTTCCAAGATGAAAAGAACTCTGGAGATGGATGGTGGTGACGGTCGCACAACGGAGTAAATATACTTAATGCCACTGAAGTGTGTACACTTAAAAATGGTTAAGATGGGGGCCAGCCCATGGCATACTGGTTGAGTTCAGTGTGCTCTGCTTTGGTGGCTGGGGTTCACTGGTTCAGATCCTGGGCGTGGACCTATACAACTTGTCAGCCACGCTGAGGTGGCGACCTCCATATAAAGTGGAGGAAGACTGGCAAGGATATTAGATCAGGACTAATCTTCCTCAGGGAAAAAAAAAAAAAGGTAAGATGATAAATTTTAAAAAAATAATAAAAAAGTCATGAGCATGAGAATATGAGTATGAGCAGGTGAGAGTTCTTGTGGTGATGCTATTTAGGCAAAGGAACAAGACAACCAAAAAGAAAGACTCTGGATAATCTGTACAATCCCCTCACTTAATTTCTGAGAAACTAAGAATAGTCAGGATAGGCTAAGTTAGAGAGTAACAAATAATCTTAAATTCTCAGTAGATTAAAAGAACAAAAATTGGGGCCAGCCCGGTGGCACAGCGGTTAACTTCGCACGTTCCACTTCTCAGCGGCCTGGGGTTTGCCGGTTTGGATCCTGGGTGGGGACATGGCACCGCTTGGCAAAAGCCATGCTGTGGTAGGCATCCCACGTATAAAGCAGAGGAAGATTGGCATGGATGTCAGCTCGGGGCCAGTCTTCCTCAGCAAAAAGAGGAGGATTGGCAGTAGTTAGCTCAGGGCTAATCTTCCTCGGAAAAAAACAAAAAAAACCAAAAATTTCTTGCACACATTTCATGTCTATCTCTGGCCAGCAGAGGCTAAGCTCATATCATCCTCACTCAGAGATGCAGGGCATGGTGGCATGGGCAAGGGAACCCAGGAGATCACAGAGTGGCTCTTCCTTGTGGTCATATTTCATTGGCCAAAGTAATTGCCATGGCCATGCATAACTTCAAAGGGCAGGGAAATGCAATTCTATCATGTACCAAGAAGAGGAGCCAGAAATCTTAGTAAACAGGAGTTCTAATATAAGTTGTCAGATACTGGCCTGTTAATATGCTGTGGTACAGTATTTATTGTCAGTCTTAAACAATGGAATGCTATGTATACAGTGAAATGCTATGTATACAAATCCTGTCCACAACTTGTACACTATGTATGCAAATGAAGTGGAAAAATAGTTACTCTTAAGCATACGGGCAAGAACAAATTGGTTGAAGAGCACAAGATGCATGCCATTAAACTAATGCTGAGTTCAGAAAGCAGATACCGCCAGATGGAAGAATGTATGACAGAATGCAGCCATAAAATGATTATTCTCTTCAGGTAGTGAGTATAAGGCGGGCCAGCCTAATAGGATTCTATTAAGTAGGATTCCTTAACACCCTAAGGCAGTAACTACAGACAACAGAATCTATTTGACAAGAGAAGAGACTTGAAAAAGAAATTCCAAAAAGGAAAGGTGGCATATGACAAATCCATGGACAGATTAATGCAAAAAGACTACTTTCCACTTCAAGCAGCCCAAGCCAAAAACGCAATTCATAAAGTCAAGCAAGCAAATAAGAACATTCTGGACCCACAGGCCAACTTTTAAAATGAGTGCATTGGTGAGGCTGGCCCGGTGGCATAGTGGTTAAGTTTGTGTGCTCTGCTTCAGTGGCCTGGGGTTCATGGGTACAGACTCCAGGTGTGAACCTACACACCACTCATCAAGCCACACTGTGGGGGCATCCCAAATACAAAATAGAGGAAGACTGGCACAGATGTTAACTCAGCGACAATCTTCCTCAAACAAAAAAGAGGAAGATTGCTAACAGATGTTAGCTCAGGGCCAATCTTCCTCACATACATACATACATACATACATACATACATAAATAAAGAGTGCATTGGCACCAATTTACCACAAAGGTCCATTCAGACCCAGAATTGCTATCTCTGATAAAATTTAGTATAAATTCACATTCCCATTTAGGCACATACAAAAAAAAATGTGCTTAACGTTAAAACCAAACCAAAACAGAAGCATATATACTTTAATGATTCAAAAGTCACAATTACTTACCTCAGAATTTGATAATGATTCCTTCACTCGGGGAGACTAAAAGGAATACATAAAAGGAGGCTGGTTAACTCAAAGCTCAGATTACTTGCAGTCAGTTGCAAACTGTACGTCAAGATGAAATGCAAGTCAACTCCATTTCATTCTGGTCCATACATTAACTCACCAGTAACCCTAGTCAAAGTTTTCTGGAAAAAGAAAACTGTCATGATACTACTGTATTTTCTGTCCAGGTAGCCCAAGGACATCAATGTACTATATGGTATTTTAACAGTTCACAACTTGAGGTTTATAAGCAAACATAATGGGACTGACTTCCCAGGTAGTAGGGAGGTCACGATCTTCAAGGTATAATTCTTTCTACTAATCATGAACATATCATGTGCATAATATCCTAGACCCAATGTAAACCTTCAAGCTAATTATCCAACATTTTCAAAATAGAGTAATTCTGATTATGGGCTTTAAGGGAGAAAACTCTTGAGCCAAAGTTGAAAAACTAACTACAATCTGCCATAAGAGTCTAAGCTAAATTATTTAGTAAATCCTAATAGTTAGTAGTAATTCTGGACACAGGCACTGGAGAATACAAAAGAACCTTAACATATCTATAAACAAATATCAGTTTATGGGAAATTCAACTAAGTATGGATTTAGACTACTTAACAGGTCGACTCAAGTTCTTAAAATTTTCATCACCATTTTGTTAAGGAGAGTCAAGGTTCAGGTAATAGCTAATGTACCACAGCAAACATATGGCCAACCCAAAACCATTTTGTAAAAAATCTTATATTTGGAAATAATTTTAAACTTCTTAGAATAACAATACAAAAAACATCAGTACATCCTTTACCCAGATTCAGCTATTATTAACCTTTTTTCCTCATCTGCTTTATTATTTACATGCTCACTTTCTCTCTTTCTAAATATATATGTTTAATCAATTATATTTGTTCCTGTACCCTTTGAGAACAAGTTGCATATATCACGGCTGTTTACCACTGAATAGTCACTGAGAATTTCTTCTTAAGAATAGGGATATTCTCTTATATAACTTCACAGTACTAAAACTTCAGTAAATTTAACAACAATATAACACTTTCATCTAATTTACCATCCATAACCCAACTTTTTCAATGACCTCATAATGGCCTTTATAGCCTTTTTCTTCCAGTAAAAGATGAACTCTAGGATCATGTACTGCAGTTAGTTTTCATGTCTCTTTAGATTTTTTATATCTGGCACACTAACATTTTTGAAGAATATAGTCACCCCCCCACACACACACTTTATTTTAATAGAATGCCCCTAATTTGTGGTTTGTCTGATGTTTTCTAATGATTACACTTGTACGAATTCCCAGTTGGAATTCTATGTCATGATGTGTCCTTCCTGGGGTATTATATCTTAGGGAATCACATGTTCATCTGCCTCTCTTTAGTGATGTTCATTTTAATCATCTAGTCAAGGCTTTTTCCAATTTCTCCAGTATGCAGTAACTATTTTTTCCATTGCAACTAATAGGCAATCTGTGGAGAGACACTTTAAGACTATGTAAATATACTGCTCATCAAAACTTTCCCCTATATTTAGCATCTGTTGATGATCTGTGCCTGATCTAATCTTTATGATTACTTTATGACGGCTGTAAAATTATGATTCCCTCCTCCAACACTCCTCCACATTTACCTGTCAGCACTCTGCAGTTTACTGTAATGAAAAACCATCCCCTTCCCCCCATTTATTTATATATTTATATATTATTGTCATGGACTCATAGATTCTTTCTTTTTAAATAATTTAGAATTTATTACTGCACTTAATGATTTTGATAGTCAAATTCTCCCTAATTTGGCCAGTGGGAGCTCCTTCAACCTGGTTCTTGTGTTACTAGGACTTGTTTTTTAATAAAAGATCTTTTCTTTCTGATAAAAGAAAATATTCCAGATTTATCTTTAATTTTCCCTGTGTAAGCCCTGGAATAGGCCATTTCTCCAAGAAGCCCTTATTCTTTTAGTAGGGAATGACATTAGAGACCAAGATCTTGGCATAAGGTGTGCTTGTTGTTATTGTTTTCCTGCCTGTTGGCATACCTGGTAATCTTTGATTGGATGCCAGGAGTTGTGAATTTTACCATGTTGCATGCTGATAATTTTGTATTTCTATAACTCTTGAGCTTTGTTCTGGAATACAGTAAAGTTACTTGGAAATAGCTTAATCCTTTTGAATCTTGTTTTTATGAGTTGTTAGTTGGGTCTGGAGCAGTGTTCAGTCTAGGGCTATGTAATCCTCACTACTGAGACAAGACCATTCTGAAAACTCTACCCAATGCCTGTGAATTACAAGTTTCTCCAGCCTGGCTGGTGGGAATAGGCACCGTTCTTGGCTCTGTGTGAGTGCTGGGCACGGTTCTCTAGTCTCAGGTAGTTTTCTCACATGTATTCATTGATAAGTGCTCTGCTGAATACTCAAAAGGGAAGCTCTGCAGACCTCTAAGCTTCTGTCTCTGTGTAGCTCTCTCCTCCCTGTACTTGCCCTTACCAATTTTATCTGCCTTGGTCTCCCCAGACTCTCAGCTCTATTTCCTCAACTCAGGAAAACACTCCTCAAGCCATAATGAAGATAATAATCAAACGAAACTGCCCTAGAATTGACACGGATGTTAGAATTGGCAGAGAAGGACATTAAAACAGTTTATTATAACCATTATATATCTTCAAAAAGTTAAGTGGAAGATGAAATGGAAGATGTAAAAATAAACAAACACCAAATCAAACTTCTAGAGTATTATACTGTCTGAGATAGAAAATAGATTGGATGGGATTAGCATTAGAGACTGCAGAAGAAAAGATTAATGAACTTGAAGGCTAGCTATAGATACTATACAAAATGAAACTGAGAAAAAAAGAATTTTTAAAAAATGAAAAGAGAATCAGTGAGCCATCAGACAACTTTAAGCAGCCTATATATGTGTTACTGGAGTCTCCAAGGTAGAAGGAAGACAGAAAAATATTTTAAAATATGATAGTTGAAAAATTTCCAAACTTGATAAAAACTACAAACCCACAGATCAAAGAAGTGCAATAAACCCCAAGCACAAGAGGCATGAAAAAAAAATACACCTAGGCATATCATAATCAAATTACTCAAAACTATTAAAAAGGGAAAAAATCTTAAAAGCAGCCAGAGTAAAAAGACATATGACTTATAAATGATATCAGTAGATTTCTCATTGGAAAAAATGCAAACAAGAAGATAGTTGACCAACATCTTTAAAATAGTGAAAGAAAAAGCCTATCAATCTAGAATTCTATACCTAGCATAAATGTATCTTTTCAAAACAAAGGTGAAATAAAGACATTTTCAGACATAAAACCTTAAAGAAATAATCACCAGCAGACACACATTACAAAAAATGTTAAGGGAAGTTCTTCAGCAGAAAGAAAATGATATAAAGATGGAAATCTGGAACTACCCAAGAATCTTTTTTATGAACGCGTGCTGAATTTTGTCATAGGCTTTTTCAGAATGAATGAAAATAAGAATATGATTTTTTTTTTCCTTAGGCCTATTAATATTACAAGATTTCCTAATACTGAACCACCCTTGCACCCCACCCCACTTGATCATGGTATATTCTTTTAATGTAGTTCAACTCAGTTTTAAAAGACTCTCTTTTTAAAAAAGAATTCATGGTATCAAAAATGACTAAAGTGATAACATGAGAAAAGCTGGATAACATGAGAAATACAGAAAGCTACTTATTCTGTGAACAAAGTACAAAAATTTCCATGCTGCTTAGAAATAGCTACTCTAAGTATTTCAGAACTTTCAAATTTCTCTTGCAGATAGCTATGGAGTAATAACCAGACATTGACAAGCTGTAATTTATCTTGCCAAATATGATTTGTTGGTCAGAGGAAAAACAGCAGTAGCATCTCTTTCATAGGAAGCTAGAACTACAAGGATCATGTAGCTCTAGCTTCTCCTGGAGGTTTTAACATAACATTACAAGAGAATATCAATTAAGAGAGAAATCACATGAAAAAGTAAGGAAGAAAAGATGCCACAGTCTCACATATGTACAGAAACGAAGTCACAATTGTATATAAATGAATGTTTACATTTGTTATCTTTTTAAGAGCTTTTTCAAGGTTAGAGCTTAATAAACTTTTGCCGATTTTCATTGGCAAGCTCTTTACAAACTTAAAGGAAAAGGACAAACTGCAAAAGGACTAGACCCACAGACCTTATTTGACAAACAAGATCAACAAACATTCAATGTTGATCAGCAAGAGTCATAAGTGCTACCACCGAGCAGATCCTAAAAGCAGGCAGAGAGACACCACCTACCCATGACTCATCCCACAAAAAGGTTCTGCGCAGTCAAGGTTATGATGACCTCAAACATTAGCATTTCCTATACACATTTGAATTCTTGGGAATGAATCCTAACAATCAACCCAAGGCATTAACTTGAAAAAAGAGTGATGAAACAAACCAAAACAAGACCCTTGTCTTCACTGCTTTTAGGAAACACACACACACACACCACTCCCCCCCTCCCCGCCCCAGGATATACCAATTAAAGAAGAGGTACACTGTTTTTCTTCAGGTAGAAGATTAGCAGACTTAGGGACAAAGTTTCTATTGTTAGGTTTTCAAATTCACTAATCCCTTCTTCTGCAATATAGTCAGCCATTAATCCTATCCAGTATGTTTTCATCTCAGACATTGTAGTTTTTATTTCCAGATTTGGGTCATTTTTATATACCCTATATGTTATCATATTTAAACAGATGTGCCAGTCCACTTTTCCATGTAGAATTAACTGGGCTCCTGTTGTTAGTAAGTTGTTCAAGGAAACTGTCACTAACACCTGTATTTTTTGTATTTTAGCTGGTTAAGCTGAACAGAACCAGAGAACATAGGATTACCTCAGAGGCTTCAAACAAAAAGATAGAGCTCTAAAGTATACAGTTTAACAAAACTTACCCTGAGTTGTGAAATTGCTGCTTTCCCTTCCTCACTTTCTTCATCAAATTCATCATCACTCCACTCCCAGCCACCATCCTCTGTCTTATGAAGACGGCCACTGGAACCTGGTACTCTCCGAACCTGCTCATTAGGAAGAGAGACGAGAATTACAGTAATGTTTGACATTTACTATATAGAAAAGTCATATTTCCCTGTCCTTCTATTATTCAACACAGTAGACACATAATCATTTTCCCCATAAGTAAGTTTTCCCATAAAAATTCATATCCTCCACCCCTCACTTGCTCTCTGTTCACAATCTCCATTACCTATCTTTACTCACAACCACTGACTTTCCCTATACTTCTACACTCTGAGCCCGAACATCACCCAGTCTTTCTTATGTGAAGTCATAGGTCAAATCTGATTAATGGTTTCATGTTGCAAGACATTTAAAAAAAAACGGTTTTCAGGGGCTGGCCCTGTGGCCAAGTGGTTAGTTTGCGTGCTCTGCTTTGGCAGCCCAGGGTTTCTCCAGTTCAAAACCTGGGCACGGAGATGGCACGGCTCATCAAGCCATGCTGAGGTGGCATCCCACATGTCACAACTAGAAGGACTCACAACTAAAAATATACAACTATGTACCAGGGGGCTTTGGGGAGAAACAGGAAAAATTTTTAAAAAGATGGTTTTCAGCCCCCTAAATAAATAAATCCAAGTTAAAGAAGATTCTGCTTCTTTTCTTTTTAATTTTAATTATAAAAATCACAACTATACCTGCACAGTTTCAAGAGTACTAAAGCTGTGCAAGTTTTGTTAAGAAAAACAGCAATCTCCTAACTTTCTCCCTCTTCCCCACAGGCCAACCACTTTCAACTCATTTTAGCTTATTCTTTTGGAATTTATATTCATCTCTCTAGGTAATTATTATTATTATTATTATTACCCCTTGATTTTTTGGTTTTAGAACTTGTCTACTGGACTTGCCACTATGGAAGATGAGAATTTACCCCTATTATCAACCTCCTACTCTTTTCTCAAGATATATTGTAATTCTGGTTAAATCAATATTCAGTGTTTATATAATATGATTATATAAATGATACAACTGAGACTTAGAGTATATTACAACTACTTTTCCTTCCTGTATAACATTTTTGCTTCCCCTGGAGTTAATATTTGCTTATTTCTATGCACTTGTCCTATTTATCCCCAAGTTCTCTCCCAGATGTGTAAATCTCCTCTCACCACATTCACATACATTAGGTATGCATCAGGATCATCTTCTGGAGGAAGCCTCTCACCAAAGCCTCATGACCTGCTCCACCCTAGCCTGATTTCATACCACTCTAGCCTGGTTTCAGATCTCACTCTACCATCACCCAGAGAACCATACTTCCTAGATCATAAGACTTCCCGGTTCTTAGTTTAAGCATGTCTTCCCCTGTTAGCATGGCACATTTATTAAAGCCATGCATTTCTAAACATACCCTGATTCTATCCCCACGTTTCACTTATAGTTTGCCTGATAAAAAAAAGTCTGGGTTAGAAATCATTTTCTTTCCTAATGAACATAACTGCTCCACTGTGATCTGGCTTCCAGAGGTGCTACTGAGGTCATTATGACTCCTGATGCTGTCTGCAACCTTTCCCAGCACTCTCTGGAAGGCTATAGGATCTTCTTTTTGCCTCCAGCATTCTGACTATCATGGTAATGTGCCTTAGTGTTGGTCTATTTTCATTCATTGTGCTGAGTACTTGGGCTCTTTCCATCTGGAAATTCATGACTACCAGTTTTGGAAATTTTTCTTGAATTATTTCTTCAATGATTTCCTTTCATTTGTTTTTCTCAGTTCTCCTTTTCTGGAACTCTTTTTACTCAAATGTTGAACCTTCTCAAATGATCCTCTAATGTTCTCATCTTTTCTCTCTTGTTATCTCTCTCTCTTGGCCTTTTGGCTCTGCTTTCTGGGAAATTTCCTCAACTTTACCCTACAACCTTTGTATTGAATTTTTTCATTTCTTTCTTTTTTTTTCTTTTTGAGGAAGATTAGCCCTGAGCTAATATCCACCACCAAGCCTCCTCTTTTTGCTGAGAAAGACTGGCCCTGAGCTAACCTCTGTGCCCATCTTCCTCTACTTTATACGTGGGACGTCTGCCACAGCATGGCTTGATAAGTGGTGCATATGTCTGCACCCAGGATCTGAACTGGTGAACCCTGGGCCACCAAAGTGGAGCATGCAAACTTAACTGCTACACCACTTGGCCAGCCCCCAAATTTTTTCATTTCTTCTATAACGTTTTCCATTTCCAAGAGCTTTTTGTTGGTGGTGGCATCATTCCCTAAATGCTCCTCTTTTCCTTAACTAACAGCTTTATTGAGATGTAATTCATATAGCATACAACTGACCCATTTAAGGTATACAATTCAATTATTTTTAGTATATTCAGAGCTGTGAAACCATTTCCACAATCAAATTTAGATCATTTTCATCACTTCCCTGCCCCCAAAAAACACCCAATACCCCTTAGCAGTCACTGCCCATTTCTCTACAGTCCTCTCAGTCCTAGGTAACCACTAATCTACTTTACGTCTCTTGACATTTGCCTATTCTGGACATTTCACATAAACAGAAGCATACAACATGTGGTCTTTTGTAACTGGCTTCCTTCAGTTATCATGTGTTTCAAAGATTCATCTATGTTATGGCATGTATCAGTACTTCATTTCTTTCCATTGCCAAATAATATTTCATTATATAGGTGCATGACATTTTACGTATCTATTCATCAGTAAATGGACATTCAGGTTGTTTCCACTTTTTAGTTACTATGAATAACACTGTTATGAACATCCTGTACATCTTTTTGTGCGTACCTGTTTTCAATTCTCTTGAATATGCCCAGGAGTGGAATTGCTGGGTCATATGGCAACTTTGTTTAGCCTTTTGAAGAACTGCCAAACTACTTTCTAAAGTGGTTCTACCATTTTACATTCTCATCAGTAGTGTGTAAGGGTTCTAATTTCTCTACATCTTTATCAACACTTGTTACTGTCCTTTTTATTACAGTCATCTTAGTGAGCGTGAAGTGGTATCTTTGTTGTTTTTGTATGGTGTGAGGACAGGGACCAACTTCACAATTCACTCTGGTAGTTGCGAACAGTGATTTAATAGAGTTTAGAGTTAATTCATCAATTGTCTAACATATCTTTTCATTGTAAAAGATAGCAGAGTAATACCTAGGCACATAGTAAACTAACAGTATTTGCTGAATGAATATATCAAAGAATGCTAAAGAAAAGGTTGAAAGACAGTGAGTATTACTCATACTGTTAACAAAGTATTACCCAATATATATGTTAAAACCCATGGTTCAAAATGTGAAAGTAAATCTACCCTAAGCAATTTCCCAGTAAAACTGAGTTAAATCTCCATTTACCTTTTTAGCTCTTTCAGAAATGGTTGGAGCTCTCTGCAATAGTTTTTCTTGAAGAAATTCTTTATTCTGAAGAGGAAAAATAAGTATTTTCTTCTTACAAGAAGTTTTTATTGAGCCAAAAAAATTGACACAGAAATGTTGACCACAATTAAAATGTGACAGAGGAACTTTTATAAAAAAAGTTTGAGAAAAGCTTCCATTCTTTTATTCTGAAGCTCCTTTAAGTACATTACTACCATGGTTTTATATATTGAGACAGAGCTTTAATGTATTGTATGAACCATTATCTATGAAAAGTTTGCTTTACCGTATGTCCTTTGGGATCATGGTCCCACATTTCCAACTACAGTAACATCCCACTTATCCGATATCTTTGGGAAATGAGATGTTTACTAATTCAGTAGTAAACCCTGAAATGAGAGTTCAGTATTTTTCACAGATTATATTTATAGTGGCAAAATTTAATATTCATTGTTCCTGTTATAAGTTTAACCTGACATTTAAATTAATTTATATGAAATATACATTTAGTAATTCCAAAGCATGTATCTTAATTACCAAAGATTGTATAGATAGTGCCTTTAGCAATTATTTGATCTACCATCATTCTTCCAAACATAAACATCTTAAGATAATGTAACTTCTGAGCAGTGCATCTAATTTAAGTAACTGAGGAAGATTATATGAACATACAAAATCAAAAGTTAGAATTTCCTACCTTTGCTTTTTGGAAAAATTTGTGCCTTAACAGTTCTGCTGCTGTTGGTCTAAAACCAGAAAAGAAAGTTTTTATAGTTAATTCAAGTGTAATGTGGGTTTCTATCTTCAAACATGAGAAAATGATTTCTTGAGCTGTAAGATAAAAACTCAGTGTATTCCATTTTCCTTAACCTGCTAAAAAACAAAAGGGAAGGAGAGGAAATGGGAGGGAAGGGAAAGGGAAAAGGAAAAGGAAAGGAAAGGAAGAAAGAAAAAAAAAAAGAGGGAAGATTCTAAAAGTAGCTGTAACAACACTTCGGTCAACAACAAGACTGCAAAATTCTACGACAGTAACCATAAGATTAATGGTGGTCCCGTAAGGTTAGTACCGTATAGCCTAGGTATGTAGTAGGCTCTACCATCTGAGTTTGTGTAAGTGTGCTCTACGATGCTCGCACAACAACTGCCTGACATTTCTCAGAATGTATCCCCGTTGTTAAGTGACGTGTGACTGTAACGTTTATTCCCCAAATTTAATCTAAACTCAGTTTTTAACTCAACTGTGCACAGTCTTAGTTTGTTTGCATAAAGGCATCATTGTCAATTTTACAAATGTTTAAAAGAGTGATTGAGAATAAAGAATAAACAATACTCCACTTAAGAGACCAGACCTGATTATGCCACACACCTACCATGTAATCCTCCTGAGCAAATCACTTCTCTAAGGTTCAGTATTGCCCGGCCAAGTCCCTAAAAGCAGTGATTCTTAAACACTGCTATGCATTATAATACCTGGGGGTTCTAAAAAAAATCCCAATGTCCAGGCTGCACCCCATACCAACTAAAGCAGAATCTGTGGGGGCAAACCCAGACATTGCTAGTTTTTCAAACTCCCCAGGTGATTCCAGTGTGCACTCAAGCTTGAGAACCAGAGCCTCAGAGGATTACTATAAAGATTAAAAGCGAGAACAAATGTGAAAGTACTATGCAAACAAAGTAGACAATACCATTCCTATTTTTTCATTCAGTCAAGACTTCAAGAGTTCAAAAGTCTGTCTGCAGAACATTGCTTCTTATGATTCATGCCTTTCTTCTAAGTTTATTTCCTTCTTTCTAAAGTACAATTTATAAGAGTTCTTTAAGTGATAAAATGTGACAGGAAAACGCAATTTTGTCCGAAAAATATCTTAATTTCATACTTATTCTTGAATGATAGTCTGACTAGATGGAGAATTCTGGACCAACAGTTATTTTCTCTCAGCATTATTCTAAAACATTTGGCTTCAATTGTAATTACTAGGGAGGTAGCTGTCAGTCTATCTGCTATTTTTCGATCGGTAATCTGTTCCCTTAGGTTGCATTTAAGAATTCTTTGTGTCCAGTACTTTCGTGACAACGTGTCCAAGTGGGGAAAGGGGGACAGTGCTTGGAATTTTGGGGGATGGTTCTTTAATCTGAGGATATAGGTATTTCATCAATTGTAGAAAATTCTCAGCCATATTTCTCTGAATATTGCTTCTCCCACATTCTCTCTAATCTTTCCTGGAAGGTCTATATATACATATATGTATATGTGTGCAGGTATGTATGTATACATGTATATGTCTGTGTACACCCACACACACACATACAGAACCCTCTCATTCTATCCTCTAAATGTTCATCTTTCTTTCATATTCCCATTTTTTCATCTTTCTGTGCTGCATTCCGAGCAATTTCCTCAGTAGAGTATAGTATGACTAACAGTAGCACTCTGTAGTCAAACTGCCTAAGTTGGAATTCCAGCTCCCCCATTTACTAACTGTTTGACTTCAGGCAAAATTACTTAACCTCTCTGTGATTCAGTTTCTTCATTGTAACACAGAGAAAATAATGGTGTCACTCAGAGGATTACTGTAAAAATTAAATGAGATGGTATATATTGTGTTTATAACAGTGCCTGGTAACCTGATTAGTGATCAATAAGTAATTATTTCTTTTTATTTTATTGGCTGTTCTGTTAAACTAGTCTATTGAGGTGTTCTTTTTCACTTAGAAATGTTCTAAACAAGGTATAATTTTGGTTTAAAAACTGGAATAGATGTTCTATAGCTTCCAGACTTTTTAAAAAAAAAAAACTTATATTTTGAAATAATTTTAGACTTACAGAAGAGATGCAAAGGTAGTACAGAATTCCTACATAACCTTAACTAGCCTCCCTAATATTCACATTTTAAAAACCATGGTATAATTATCAAGAAATTAACTAAAAATATTAACATTGGTACAATACTCTTAACTAAACTACACATTTTATTCAGATTTCCCCAGTTTTTCCACTAATACTCTTTTTCTGTTCCAGGATCTAATCCAGGACCCTATATTGTATGTAGTCTTCATGTCTCCTCCTTTCCTTGACACTTGAAGACCACTGGCCAGGTAGTTTGTGGCATATCCCTCAATTTGGGTTTCTCTGATGTTTTCTCATTATAGACTGAAGTTATAGATTTGGGAAAAGTATACCTCAGAGGTGATATGCCCTTCTCATTACATCATATCAGGGAGTATATAATTATCACTATGTCTTATTATTGGTGATGTTAATGTTGATCACTTCGTGAAGAAGGTGTCTATGTTTCTCCGCTCTAAAGTTGCTATTTTTCCTTTTTCATACTCTATTCATCAGAAGCAGGTCATGAAGTCCAGCCTACATTCAAGGGGAGCCATTAAGTTCTAATTTTTAATTACCGTATTTTTCATTTCTAGCAGTTCTATTTCACTTTTTTATTACAGTTACATTCTTTTCTTATGGTTTTGATTTCTTCTTTTATGATCTTAATTATTTTAAGTATACTTAAATTAACAGTCTTTTCAGATATCTTTGCATTATCCAAAGTTCTTGGAGCACTAACGCTGCTTGTTGTATCTGCTGACTCTAGTTTACAGTGTAGTGTTTCACTGTGTGTTTTGTATTTTGGGATCATGATGTTCTCTTCAGTGGGGCATCACATGCAGGAATCTCAGGGATCTGGGTTTCAGAACTGTTCTAACAGTGTGGTTTTGCAATTGCTTCTGCCAAAAATAAAACTGGCTTGACAATAATTTTTTTACTTTCTAATCCTGTGAGTTCCTGGATAGTATGGGTAGTATAAACTCAAGACTGTAAATCTGCAGAATGTCCAGGTTGGGGGGCTTGATTATTCAGGAGAGATTTTCATTATGTCTTCATTATGATGGACAGATTTTTTTGTTTTCTGGTCTATGCTTTTACTCAGGATGCAGGGTTCTGAAGGGCCTAGCTTTAAGCAGAGATCTCAGTTCAACATCCACACTGGGTGGGGCCCAATATCCCATTTCCAGTCCCCCCGTGAAAGTCAGAAATCCAGTGTCCCACTGAGGGCAGCTACAGGGTTAGCTCATGATATTCCTTCTCCGATTTATGGCTTCCTCATTATTTCTTGCATCTGAGGACTTCTTTTTATTGCAAGCTCATTTCTGGATTTGGTTTTTTTTTTTTTCCTTGCTTTTTCTTCCCAAATCCCTCCAGTATATAGTTGTATATTTTAGTTGTGGGTCCTTCTAGTTGTGGCATGTGGGGTGCCACCTCAGCATGGCCCGATGAGTGGTGCCATGTCCACGCCCAGGATACGAACCAGTGAAACCCTGGGCTGCCAAAGCGGAGCGCGCGAACTTAGCCACTCAGCCATGGGGCAGGCCCCTGGATTTGTTTTTTTAAGTTTGACAGATTTATGCCGCCATTTCTGGGTGTTTGTAACAAGAATATTCTGTTATTTTAGTCAACTAACTTGGCAGAGCCAAAAGTGCTCCCTATCATTTGTACCAATTTATTCAGGAAAAAGGAAAAAAGTTCTAAAAACACAGGTTTGAACTTTGCTGCCTGTTTTTCTTACCCTTTCCAATATTTCCAACAGTAAATTCTGAAGCCCCATTAAATACACTAAACATATGATCATGGATGGCAATTAAAATCTTTTACTTTTGTTGATTTTTATGGAAATCAAAACTAAAGAACTTCTTAGTGCTAAGAAACTGAGTGGAATATATGTGTAAAACAGAAAAATAATATATAATGGGAACAGAGCTCTAGGTTAGGAATCAGGAGTTTTGGATTCAAGTTGCACCACTATGACTAGGTAGCTGGCTGACCTCAAAGACAAAAGGTTGTGTGCCCTCAAGACTCTCCAACATTCTAGGATTCTGTTTAATTTATAAAGATACACACATTAGATGACAGTGTTTATGTACTTATTTGCCTTCCAATCTAACAAGTAAGCTCTGAATTTTTGGTCCAGTTACTAAAATATCTTTCCAATAAGAAAATAAGTATGATTATTTGACATTAAATATACCATTTGCACTGTGTGCTTATTAAAATTATAAGCAGCATTAAAATATTTGTTTACTTATAACTTTTAAATGCACATTGAAAATGAGCCCTCCCACTAACATGGTATATAATTAATACAGAATTCACAACAAATTTATAATTTTAAGAAATTAACCAGTGCACTATTTAGTATACACTGCATACTAAAATGAAGGGATAAAGTAATTCACATTCATTTCCAATCTAGTGTAATGATCTCTGTATATTTTTTCTAAAGTTTATATTAAGTTCCTTTGAATACTCACAAATAATTCCCTGTGCACGTATATATGTGATTCTTAGACTTCCCACAATGGTTTACATATTATATGAAGAGAAAAGTAAGCTTTATCTCATATTTTACCTTTTTTCTGGATCCTTTTGAAGGCACAATGAAATCATTTTTCTAAATGATTTTCCATATTTTTTTAGCATTTCTTTATCTTGAACACCAGTTTCCAAAGAAGGAGGATCATTCTGCAGCGTCAGCATTAAAACCTGTAAGAATTTTCAGTATAATATAAACTTCTGAAGACTCGACAAAGTAAAATTAAATATTGTGGCCAAGATTTTCAATATAGACAACCTCCCAACATACAAACAGATTTTATTTTCTAAAAGTTTTCATCTAGATCAGTTGTTTGGAATCCAGTCATTTAGGTGTTTTCCACATAAACAATATCCTCTAGATAGTTGACTTCCCAAACGATGTATCTGCAAAGGCTCAACTGTATCAACATTTTATGTCCTTTAGCTAGAATCCTTTCTTCATGTCCTCTGTCCCCATTCTGATACTGCCAAAATATCTTTAAAAACAATTAAAACAAAGCAAAATTAAGAGCATAACCTTGCTGACTTTACCTATTCATAGCTCTGTTTCAGTCTGACCCCTTGTAATCTGGCCTTCTCTTCCCAGGACTCCTCAGAAATTTCTATGATAGAAATCACCGATGATGTCCTAGTTAACAAAGCTACAGTCTTTTTAGTTCTCATTCTTCCTGCCTTTCCCACAGCAACTGACAATCTTGATCACTCACTCTGTCCATCCTAAATCTCTTCCTTCTTTGACTTTCATGGCAACATACCAGCTTGATGATAGAGATGTAAGTAATGAAGATCATATATCTATGGTGGGATTTCGGGTGATTTGTTTTTTTCTATACAACTTGTTTGACTTTTTACAAAACCATAAGCCATTTTCCTAAACACAAAGTCAACATTAAAAAATAAAAGGGGGGGCTGGCCCCACGGCCTCGTGGTTAAGTTCACTGCACTCCACTGTAGTGGCCCAGGTTTGGTTGCTGGGCACAGAACTATATCACTCATTGGTGGCCATGCTGTGGCAGTGAACCACATACAAAATAGAATAAGACTGGAACAGATGTTAGCTCAGGGCCAATCTTCCTCAGCCAAAAATAAATAAATAAATAAAAAGAATAAAAGGGGGCTATAATTAGAATTATTACTTGCTTTTCAGATCAATTTATATACACTGAAATGGAATTACTAAGGTTTGTGATCTTCCTCATTTTCAGCAAACAGGTTAACGTGCACGTCTGGCTACAACTGCAGGAATCACTGCTTACAATGGATGAAAAGTAAACCTCATCCTCCCTCCTCCCATCTCCTTTTTAAAAATAAGCCACTTCTTTGGCCTAAAAATAGCCTCCCACCTTACAGTTATTAAAAAAATCCTTTTCAAAACCTTGTGAATATCCATTTACTCCTAGAAGTCTTCAGGCCTTAGGAAAACTATGGCCTTAAAACATAACTAACCTTTCACATAATCAAAATTTCACCCAAATGCAGGTCAATACACGTATGTTTTGAATATGGAAATAGAGGTTTTTCATAATAGCCTTTTACTAGTTTTGTCCCTCTCTACATTGTTAGAGCCTTAAAGGGGACAAAATAATATCTTCTAAAGGTTCTACAGTACACCAAGATCATACAGATGTCAGTGATATCAATATGACAACAATTCACAATGATGGTCACTATTTTAAACAGTTATAGGGCATCTTGCAAAGTGGGCAAACAGAACTATAAACAACAGCCATAGCTACAGAGAACAGAATTCACGTGCATATTATAACTAAGGGGTCACACAGATAAAAATAGTCACCAACAGTATTGGCAGCACCATCTTGAAACACAAAAAACTCACTCTGTTACTAACGTTGGGGACAGAATTAACAATTGCATTTCAGGTACCTACTACATCAGGATATAATAACAGGCCTTTTAATAAAAGCTGCTTAATGTTCTACCACAAAGCAAACTTTTATTCAACAATAATGAGAATAATACATAAGTATGGCAAATGAATAGTTTGCATGGCTTATCTTAATTTAATATATGAAAAGCACTTAAAATATTGCCTGGCACAGATAAGTGCTCAATGAATGTTAACAACTACTATTAACATGTAACCCTTTCAAGAACCTACGAAGCAGAAATGATCATCCCCACTGAGGCTGTTCTACACAGCACAGTTTGTGTTGCAGAACACAAACTAAAATGAGAGAATCAGATCCTAATATCAAACTAGTTACACAGCCAGGAGATGGAAAGTCATCATACAAAAAGGTCAACTACAGCATAAAGTTATCCAATGCTAAATGCCAAATATCTAACACAGATTTTAACTGCTACAAAAGTTAGAAAGAATGCAAGGCAGAATTCTATGGGTAAGAATGTAAAATGAAGAGAGGCTCTGGAAAGGAACTGGGACACGAGCCGGGGTGGTATTTTGAATATGAGCCTCACCTTCATTGGCGGATATTTATGATAAGGAGCTGCTCCTGTGGCCAGTTCAATCGCTGTGATCCCAAAACTCCAGATGTCAGCTTTGAAATCATAACCTCGGACCTGTAAAGAACAGAGAAATATACATGACTATTTTTACCACCCTTAATGCACATTTTAAAGGTAGCTTCTAATATGAATCAAGAATCATGAAAGTGTTCATAAGCTTTAGACCACTAAGATAAAGTAGGCAAAAGCTAAATATACTTAAGAGCAAAAACAAAAAAAGGGCAACCTGAATGAATGTTCACCAACAAAGGGAAAATTGTTAAGTATGATATATTCACGCAAAAAATTCACAGTCAGGCCGGGCCCATGGCCGAGTGGTTAAAGTTCTGTGTGCTCCTCTTCAGTGGCCCAGGGTCATGGGTTCAGATCCCAGGCGGGGACCTACTCCACTCACCAGCCATGCTGTGGAGGCGTCTCATATACAAAAAAATAGAGGAAGACTGGCACAGATGTTAGCTCAGGGTAACAAAAAAAAACAAAAACAGGAAATTCACAGTCAACTAAAAGCAATGTTAATGAAGTCTATATGAAAATATGAAAAACCACTTGTGATAAATCACTAATGGAAAAAAGAATACAAAATTGCTCATAAGTTTTGACACTAATACAAACAGGTATATAGTCTTTTTAAAAAACTAGAACGAAATGTTAGGCAGTGGTGGTGAGTCTTCTGTTTTCCAAATTTTCTGTGCTATAGTATTGTTTTATCACCTTAATTTTTATAAAGAAAAAAGTTACAAAGGGTGTGAATATTTTTAAAGTTGTTGGTATGACTCTTGCGAAATTTCTCTCCTTTTATACTGTCACCAGCACACTATATAATTAAATACTTTAATTTTCTATGCTAAGCAATAGAGGAGGAGAAATAGGTTTTGGGAGTATGTGGTTTGAGACCTAAAATTAAAGCTCCATACTATGTGCTGCCTTGACATCTGGTAAATAGGAGGGCCTCTAATGACCCAAGTACAAGTCCCCCTGAACGCCTCCTTGTTCCCAAGGATAAGGCCTCCTAGCCCAATAATGCTACTTATCAAATGGACCAGGTGCAGTTCCTGCTTATCCCTGAGTAGCAGGGTTCAGTTCCCTGCAGGCCTAGGAATTATTCAAACAAGCCAGTCACATCCTCACAAGGAAGCCAAGGGGCATCTCTCTCTCTCTTGATACTACAGAGCCTGTCTCCCACAGCAAGTGTTTGTTCACTCTCTGAGTGCAACCCTGTGTGGCATGCAGGGTCCTCCTGCCTCCAGCTATGTGTATATGCAACTAGTAAACTTCTCTCTATCTCATCAGTTCAGTGTCAGGTGTTGTGTGTTCAGCCATCCCCATAACCCTAAGGTGGGAATCCTTCCCTCACCAACAGGGTGAATATAAGCATTATAACAGAGTGAAAAGTGAATTCACTTGCACATACTGAGTTTGATACACCTATAACACACTTAAGTGAGACATCTATAGGGAGCTGGAAATATCTATGTAGAAGAAGACTGGATTGGATATAATTTAGAAATAATTAATAGGTGGGAAGCAGAGATGATACTACCTAGTGAGTATGCGTAGTCAGGGAAGAGAAGAGGTTAAGAACAAGGTCCTGGGAAGCAGTGTCATTTAGCAGTAGAAGGGAAGCCAGAAAAGAAGTCAAAGAAATGAGTGACAAGTCAGAGACAAATGAGGAAACTATACTAGGGAAGCTAAGAAAGTGAGTAAAGGTGGAAATGGTCAACAGTTTCAAATGCCATGAAGAGAGAAATAAGACAAGGAATACAAAATGAACACTGGATTCGAGAATTAGCAGATGGAATGAGTGCCATCAGCCTGCAACTGTTTGAGAGCAAATGTGAAATGGGGATGTGGAGAAGACTAGTCCTTCGGTAACCATAGCAATGAAATGACAAGTAAAAAGCTTAGGTCATTTAATTTGTACTAAGGAAATTGTTAATAAGCCAATCTGATAATATTATTCCTTAGGTTGTCTTTGGTATAAATCCTGAGTTTCATACATCCTTTGTAAAGTTCTAGAGTTTGTTTTTTTGGGTTATTTTTAAGGGTGGAATAAAGTCTTAGTCAAGGAACAGAGATGTGTACTTCCCAAAGCTAACCTAGTACACCCAACAAAAGCAAACACTACTCAGATCTCTCAATTTCATAACAAAATCCTAAACCATTTAAAAAGACAAAGACAATACCTGTTCCATAACTTCAGGTGCCATCCAGCAAGGGGTTCCAACAAAGGTCTTTCTCACTTTATTTCGGGTAATATCACCACCAGTTGCTAAAAAAGCACTAACTCCAAAATCTGAAATAGAATACAACAGCAAGGTATTAAGGATACAGTAACTAACATAAATGGATAAGAAAATAATAAATGTGATTATAGTTCTACATACAAACAGGATGACATTTTCTCTTCTTTCTGATGAACTTCTTGACTAAATTGTGACATAGCTTAACAGATCCCTCATTCTATTCCTCTATACCCCCACACATCATCATCTCCTCAGATACTCCTCCTTGCTCCAATCCGTTCTTTTCATCTTCCAAAACTGAAACTCTATACTCATTAAAAAATAATTTCTCATTGTCCCCTCTCCCCAGTCCCTCATAACCACCATTCTACTTCCTGTCTTACGATTCTGACAACTCTAAGTACATCATGAAAGCAGAATCATACAGTATTTGTCTCCTTATAACTGACTTATTTCACTTAGCATAATGTCCTCAAGGCTCATCTATGCTGTAGCATATGTCAGAATTTCCCTCCTTTATGGGCTGAATAACATTCCATTGTATGTACATACCATGTTTTATGTACTCATTCATCCACTTACGGACACCTGGGTTACTTCCATTTTTAGCTATTGTGAATAATGCTGCTATGAAAATGGGTGCACAAATACCTGTTTGAGTCCCTGCTTTCAGTTCTTTGGGGTTATGTACCCAGAAGAGGAACTGCTGGATCATATAGTATTTTTATACCTAATTGTTTGAGGAACTGCCATATCGTTTTCCACAGCAGCTGTACCATTTTATATTCCCACCAAAAGGAAACAAGGATTCCAATTTCTCCACATCCTTGTTGTTTTCTGTTTTTTTGATAGTAGCCATCCTAACAGGTGTGAGGTGGTATCTCCTTGTAGTTTTGATTCACATTTCCCTGATGATTAGTGATGCTGAGTATCTTTTCATGTGCTTATTGGCCATTTGTACATCTTCTTTGGAGAAATGTCTATTCAAGCCCATTTTTTAACTAATTTTTTGTTGTTGTTGACTTTTAGGAATTCTCTATATATTCTGGATATTATTAGTCCCTTATCAGATATATGACTTGCAAATATTTTCTCCCATTCTGTGGGCTGCCTTTTTACTCTGTTGGTAGCATCTTTTGATGCACAAAAATTTTTAATTTTCATGAGTCCAATTTGTCTATTTTTCCTTTTGCTGCCTGTGCCTTTGGTGTCATACCCAAGAAATCACTGTCAAATCCAATCTTGTGAAACTTTTGCCTTAAGTTTTCTTCTAAGAGTTTTATTGTTTCAGGTCTTACATTTAAGTCTTTGATCCATTTTGAGTTAATTTTTGTATATAGTGTTAGATAAGGATCCAACTTCTTTCTTTTGCATGGGGATATCCAGTTTTCCCAGCACCATTTGGTAAAAAGACTGTCCTTTCCCTTAAATGGTCTTGGCACCCTTGTCCAAATCATTTGACCACATATGCAAAGGTTTATTTCTGGGCTCTCTTTTCTATTCCATTAGTCTCTATGTCTATCTTTATGCCAATAACATACCGTTTTTATTACTGTTGCTTTACAGTAAGTTTTGGAAACAGGATGTATTAATCCTTCAGCTTTGTTTGCTCTTTTTCAAGATTGTTTTGGTTATTTGAGGTTCCTTGAGATTCCATAGGAATTTGAGGATGGGTTTTTCTACCTCTGGAAAAAAAACATCACTGGGATCTTGACAGGGATTGCATTAAAACTGTGGATTACTTTGGGTAGTACTGACATTTTAACAATATTAAGTCTTCCAATCCATGATCATGGGATGTGTTTCTATTTATTTATGTCTTTAATTTCTTTCAGCAATATTTTATACTTCTCATTGTACAAGTCTTTAACTTGCTTGGTTAAGTTAACTCCTAAGTATTTTATTCTTTTTGATGCTACTTATAAATGAAATTGTTTTTTTAATTTCCTTTTCAAATTAGTCCTTGTTAACGTATATAATGCAACTAGATTTTTATGTGTTGACTTTATATCCTACTTTGCTAAATTCATTTATTAATTCAAATAGTTTTTTATGGATGTTTAGTGAGTTTTCTAAATACAAGATCATAATATCTGCAAACGGAAATCATTTTACTTCTTTCTTTCCAGTATGAACAGTTTTTATTTTTTTTTCTTGCCTATTTGTCCTAGAACTTCCAGTAGTATGTTGAATAGAAGGGGAAAAAGTGGATATCCTGGCCACTGAGTTCCTGAACTCAGTTTTTCATCGAGTATGATGTTCACTGTGAGTTTTTCATGTATGGCTATTAGTAAGTTGAGGAAGTTTCCTTTTATTCCTACTTTGTTGCATGTTTCTATGACAAAAGGATATTAAATTTTCTCAGATATTTGTTCTGCACTGAGATAAGCATGTGGTTTTTTCCCCCTTCATTCTGTAAATGTAGTCTATTATATTGATTTTCATATGTTGAACCATCCTTGCATTCCAAGAAAAAATTTCTCACTTGGTCATGGTGTATAATCCATTTAATATGCCACCAAATTCATTTCCCTAATATTTTGTTGAGAATTTCTGCATTAATGTTCATAAAGGATACTGGTCTGTAGTTTTCTCTTCTTGTATGTCTTTGTCTGGCTTTGGTATCAGGGTAATACTGGCCTCATATAATTAGTGTTCCTTTCTCTTCAATTTTTTGGAAAACTTTGTGAAAAACTGTTCTTCTTCTTTAAATATTTGGTAGAATTCACCAGTGAAACCATCAGATCCAGGGCTTTTCTTTATTGGGAGATTTTTTGACTACTGATGCAATCTCCTATACTAGTTATAGGTCAATTCAGATTTTCTATTTCATCATGATTCCATCTTGGTAGGTTTTGTGTTTCAAGGAGCTTTTCCATTTCCTCGGAGTTATCCAATTTGTTGCAGTACAATTGTTCATAATACTCTTATAATCCATTTTCTTTCTGTTCAATTGGTAGTAATGTCCTCACTTTCACTTCTGATTTCAGACATTTGAGTCTTCTCTCCTTTTACTTAGTCCATCTACTAAAGGTTTGTAAATTTTGATGTTCTTTCAAAGAACTAGTATTTGGTTTCATTGATTTTTCTCCATTGCTTTTCTATTTTCTATTTCCTTTACCTCTGCTTTAAAATTTATTATTTCCTTCCTTCTGCAAGCTTTGGGTTCAGTTTCTTCTTCTTTCTAGTTCATTAAGCTGTAAAGTTAGGCTGTTGATTTGCTATCTTTCTTGTTTTTTAATAAAGTGTCTATAGCTATAAATTTGCCCTTTAGTAATACTTTTTCCATTTCCCCTAAATTTTAGTATGGTTATGATTTCATTTTCATTCATCTCTAAGTATTTTCTAATTTCTCTTGTGATGTCTTCCTTCATCAATTGGTTGTCTAAGTGTGTGTTTAGTTTCCACAAATTTGTGAATTTTCTAGTCTTACTTCTGTTATTGATTTCTAATTTTATCCCACTGCACTCAAAGAAGATACTTCGTATGATATCTATCCTTTCAAATCTATTTAGACTTAATTTGTGGCCTAACATATGGTATATCCTGGAATATGCCCCTTGTACACTTGAGAATGTGTATGCTGTTCTTGCTGGGCAGAGTGTTCTGAATATGACTCTTAAGATATAGCTGGTCCAATGTGTTGTTTAAGTCTTCTATTTCCTTATCTTCTGTTTTCTCTATCCATTATTGAGAATAGAGTATTGAAGTCTCCAAACATTATTATAGAGATGTCTATTTTTCCCTAAAGTTCTGTCAGTTTTTACTTTATATATTTTGCTGGCATATTATTAGGTGAATATTTATAGCTGTCGTATCTTCTTGCTGTATCAAATATGTAATGTACTTCTTGGTCTCTTATAACCTGTTTTGATTTAAAGTCTGTTTTGTCTGATATTAGAATAGCCACCTCTGCTCTCTTTTGGTTACTGTTTTTACGGAATATATTTTTCCATCCTTTCATTTTCAATCTACTTGTGTCTTTAGATCTAAAGTGAGTTTCTTATAAACAGATATAATTGGATCCTGTGTTTTTACCCACCAGGCCAATCTGTGTCTTCTGACTGGGGAGTTAATCTATTTATATTTAAAGCAACTACTGATAAGGAGGGACTTACTTTTGTCACCGTGTTGTTTTCCATGTCTTATAGCTTTTCTGTACCTCATTTCCTGTATTACTTATTTTGTGTTTAGTTGATTTTTTGTTGTGAAATGCTTAAAATTTTTTTATCATTTCCTTTTGTTTATACTGTATAGCTATTTTCTTTGTGGTTATCATAGAGATTACATTTACCATTCTAAAGTTATAACACTCTAATCTGAATTTATACCAGGTTAACTTCAATAACATACAAAAACTCTTCTCCTTTAGAACACTGTTCCTACTCTTTTTGGTTGTAGATGTCACAAAATTACATCTTAATACACTGTGTGCTCAAAAACACAAGCTAGTAATTCTTTTAAGTGCATTAGTCTCTTAAACTATGTAGAAAATAAGACTTGGAGTTACAAAACAATGTTACTATAATACTAACTTTTAGACCAATAACTGTTTTTAGTAATCTATTAGTCTCTTACATCATGTAGAAAACAGAAAGTGGAGTTACAAACCATTGTTACAATAATACTAGCTTTTATACTTGCCCATGTATTTACCTTCACTGAGATCTTTATTTCTTCATACTGTCTGGAGTTATTATCTAGTGACCTTTCACTTCACCTTGCATGACTCCCTTGAGCATTTCTTCCAAGGCAGTTCTAGTGAAAACAAATCCCCTCAGCTTTTGTTTATCTGGAATATCTTAACTTATCCCTCACTTTTGAAGGACAGTTTTACTGGAGATAAATTCCTGGTTGACAATTTTTTTCTTTTGGCATTTTGAATATATTGGCCCACTGCCTTCTGGCCTCCAAAGTTTCTGATAAGAAATCTGCTGACAAGCTTATTGAGTATCCCTTGTATGCGATGGGTTGCTTTTCTCTTGCTGCTTTCAAGGCAGTCTTTGGCTTTCCTAAGTTAGATTAAACTGTGTCTCTGTGTGAGTCTCCTAGGGTTCATCTTACTGGAAAGATTGTTGAGTTTCTCGGACGTTTATATTCAAATCTTTCATCAAATTTGGGAAGTTTTCAGCCATTATTTCTTCAACATTCTCTGTCCCTTTCTCCCTTCTCCTTCTGGGCATCCCACTATGTGTATCTTGGTCCACTTACTGGTGTCCAACAGGTCCCTCAGGTTCTGCTCACTTTTCTTCAATCTTTTTCCTTTCTGTTCCTCAGACTGGATAATTTCCATTTTCCTATCTTCAAGTTCACCAATTTTCTCTTCTTCCAGCTCAAATCTTCATCTGAATACTTCTAGTGAGTTTTTCATTATGTAGTATAAGTTGTACTTTTTAGCTCTAGAATTTCTTTTTAGTTTCTTTCTTTTTTTGTGAGGACAACCGGCCCTGAGCTAACATCTGTTGCCCATTATCCTCTTTTTGCTTGAGAAGATTGTCCCTGAGCTAACATCCGCACCAACCTCCCTCCACTTTGTATATGGGACACTGCAACAGAATGGCCTGATGAGAGCACTGTGTAGGTCTGTGCCTGGGATTTGAACCCACAAATGTCAGGCTGCCAAAGCAGACCACATGAACTTAACCACTATGCCACCAGGCTGGCCCCTCCTTTGGGTTTCTTTTTAGGTTTTCTCTTTATTGATAGTTCCCTTTTGTTCACACATTGTTTTCCTGAGTTTTTCCATATCTTTCTCTAGTTCTAGTTCTCTGAGCATCCTGAAGATGGTTTTTTTTTAAAATTATGATAGTTAACAACCTTGTGAAATTTCAGTTGTACATTATTGTTAGTCATGTTGTAGGTGCACCACTTCACCCTTTTTGCCCTCCCCCCACCTCCTCTTTCCCCTGGTAACCATCAATCAGTTCTCTTTGTCTATATGTTAACTTCCACCTATGAGTGGAGTCATACAGAGTTCGTCTCTGAAGATGGTTGTTTTAAAGTCTTTCTCTAGTGGACCTGTCATCAGTCTTTTTCAGTGAGTTTCTGTTGATTTATTTATTTCTTCTGAATAGGCCATACTTTCCTGTTTCATTGAAAGCCTTTTGAATTTTTGTTGAAAACTGGACATTTGAATCTAATAATATTGCAACTCTGGAAATCAGATTCTCCCCCTTTCCCAGGTTTTTGTTATTGGTTTTGTTTCTTTTGACTGTTGTAGGCTGTGTCTGCGTTAAGCATCAGCCTGAGGTGTAAACTTTAGGTCTTCTCAGATCTTTTCTGCACCTTTCTCTGCGCATGGAGAGTCACTTTCCAATTTTCCCTGTAAATGTAGTTGTTTTTCAATGCTCTAGTCTTTAATTTCTGGCTTCAAAAAGGAGAAAAAGAGAAAAACGAAGAGAAGGAAAAAAGGTGCTGGCCCATTAAGTCCCCTGGAAGTCACTTGTCGGGGGAGGGGAGGTGCCAGAACAATAGCTGCCCACCTCTCTGTCTGTCCCCCAGGAGAGCAGCACATCAGCATTACCTCTCTATAGTATACTTATTCTTAAAAACAGTGAGGTTTCTTGACTATTTCTCCTTTAAGGAAAGTAGAGAATGCTTATGAGAGCCCACAGAGGAAGACCCTAATGAGGGTAAGGAGTGGATAACTGGAAGGTAATGAGTAATAGTCAGAAAAATGTCTAAGAACAAAAATGAAGGATAAGTAGTGGAAGATATCTTGAAAGTCAGCGGGGATGTGGCAACATAGGATGCTTGACTAGACATGGTCTCGAAACAGGAGAGAAAACTGACTAAGAAAACACAAAAGATAAGTAATGTAGTTGTACTGACCGTTAAATCAAAATAAAAAGAAATACTAATCATTACCTGCAATCTGTACTGAGCCATCTTCTCCCAGAAGAATATTTCCAGCTTTCACATCTCTTTAAGAAAAAAAAGCTATATATTAAAAAACACTTATTCTTTGAAGTCACATAACTTAAGCAATTGCTTACTATATTCATACAATACTGGCAATATTTAAATGCTCTATTTTGCATTACAGGGTATTAAGGCCAATGGTAAAATTTTAAAAATTTTAATCACTTGCACTAGAATCCAAACACTGTAAACAGAAAGCTACAATAACATATAGCTTTTTACTATAAAATCTAGAAAACCCAAGGTGATTAAAAACTTGATTGGGATAACGGGTGCCAAAGAATATAACCCTCACCTAATTCTACTTTTTGAAATATATTTTTTTCCTATAACCTAATATATGATCAAAGTTTTTAAATGGTCAGTATATAGGTGAAAACAGGGACTATCCTATACCTGTATAAGAATAGATATAAATTATTCAAACATCTCTATATTTTTATTGGTAACTATTTACAAGTCAAGTAATAAATGAATGCATTCTTGTTATAAAAACCTAAACATCACTAAAAAGGCCAAAGTCCTTTGACCACCATTCTCAAGTCTAGTGTTCTCTCCAAAGTTTTCAGCTGTTATCATTCTGGTTAACAGAATATGTTTCTGTGAGATATCTGGGCTTTTCTTCCAACATAAATGATATATACTATCCATTCAAATCTGCAACTTTTTTTTCTCATGCAACAACCTGTTAGCAGTATCTGGCAAAACTTAAAATCCCTAAATCTTATGAGTAGCAAACCTACTTCTTGATAACCTGGAGAAACTCACAATGTACAGGGAATGTACAAGGGAGTTCACTGCAGCATTGTCTGTAATAACAGCCCAAAAATGGTAACCAGCTAGAAAGCTAACAATAGCAGAAAGGTTAAATTAATTCTGTTACAATCATGTACCACATAACAATGTTTTGGTCAACGATGGACCACATATATGATGGTGGCCCCATAAGATTAGTACTAAATAGCCTAGATGCGTTATCAGGCTATCCCATCTAGGTCTGTGTAAGTACTGCAGGGGAGGATGACATTTTCCTCTACCCTTCTAGGTTCTTCTGGCTGGTCTACAAATTAAATTGACATGAGACAGATTAACAGGAGAAAAACAAACAAAAGTTTAATAACGTATACATGAGAGAAATCCAGGAAAATTGAATAACTCACCAAAATTGCCAAAGCCCTCACCTTAAATACCATCCTGAGCTCAACACAAGAGAAGGTGTTGAGAGTTAGGAGGGTCAAGGGCTTCAAAGGGAAGGAAGGCAATTCACAGGTAGGTGAAAAGGAGCAAACATTTGGAAAACAAGTGTTTGTTTGGCCACGCAGAAACAGAAGAACACAGAGGGGAGGCCAACAAACAGGCTTTTCTAGTTTCCTTCATGGTCATGTTATGCTAAGGTGACAGCTTGCTTCCTGACACAGGTATTTTAATCTGAATTCTTTTAGGCAGGTAAGGGGAAGGTAACAAGAAAAAACTCTAATTTTTTTGCTTCTCAAAAATAATTAGCCTAAAATAATCCTCATGTTGAAGCGATACATTTTGAGGTGGCAAATTTTGTGTCCCCTCAGTACACTCTATGATCTTTGCATGAAGAAATCTCCCAACAGTGCATTTCTCAGAACGTATCCCCACCGTTAAATGATGCATGACTGTACATCCATGAAACGGACTAAGGTCAATTGACATGTTATGACTTGAAACGCCCTCTAATAAATACTGCTAAATGAACAAATCAAATAGGACAGTGCATTTTGTATGACAACATTAATGTTAAACACGCATACATCTTTCCATATAATACAGCAGAGAGCAATAAATGGTTCTTTTTGTAAAGGGGAGTGGGATTGGAGTCAAGGAGAACAGAGTTTGAATAGCTTGTAGGAATGGATTCATCTATCTATTTTGTAATTAAAAATAAATATAATTAAACAAAAAAGAGCCTCCCTTGAAGCCAGGCAAGAAAGAAAAGAAAGAATAACTCATGGAGGAAGGTCTTGTTTCTCATGAAAAGGAAACAGCGAGAAGCATAACACTTCACCTTTTCCCTGTCCCTGTCTTTTCCTCCATCTTTAGATATCATCATTCCTTGGTAAAAATGAACAGTTTCACAGCTGTGTAGCAGCACCACCATACCAGAGTATACAGTACCTTTCCTGAATATATACTAAAGCAAAGGAAATCATGTTACTCAGTATTTTGTGCTGCTTATAAATCCAAGCAATGTACAGGACATTTTCCCAGAGGCTGACTGAGCAGAGGCTGGCTCACTTTGCTCTATAAACCAAAAGTCTCTGACTCTAGATACTATGAACAGGAGAGAATTGAAGACATTCCCTTCACTTGGTGACAAAGACCATTCAACTGAGTCAATCATAAACTTTCAACTACTTTTTCTGAGCTCATTTGGAATGACATCTAAAATTAAATGGAAAAAATAATGTATAGTTTAGTCACTTCCTCCTCTGCGTTTTTGTAGCAGGCTGTAACACAGTGTTAGCATGCATTATAGAAATATGATCATATTTCTGGGTCTGTCTCTCATTTCAGCATAAGCCCTATCTGGACACATAATTTTTTTTTTGCTGAGGAATACCAGCCCTGAGCTAACATCTGTTGCTAGTCTTCCTTTGTGCTCGATGAATATTGGCCCTGAGCTTACATCTGTGCCAATCTTCCTCTATTTTCTATGTGGGTAGCTGTCACAGCATGGCCATCAACGAGCAGTGTAGGTCTGTGCCCAGGAACCAAACCTAGGCTGCTGAAGCAGAGCACACCAAACTTAACCATCAGGCCACAGGGCCAGCCCCTGGGCATATATCTTAATATATTTCTGTATCACCTGCACTTACTTAGTATTACAATTAGTACACAGGAGGCACCTCCCAGATATTCATCAAACAGATTTTAATAACTAAATGGGAGAAAACCTGCATCAAATTCCCTTATGGAGATAAGTGGAGTATTAAACGAATGAATAAATAAATAAATCCAACTAAACACTAAAATAAAACTTGATTGTTTCTGGAGAGAAGTAGAGTATTAAACCAATCAATCAATCCAACTAAATACCAAAATACAACATGATTTTCTGGGGGGTTGGTTACTTTCCCACCATCCCAACCCCCAACTACCATCTTCTAGCTCTGTTCCAAAATCAGAGTTATAAATTAAGACATTGCAGTTAAAGAGGACAACCTAACTATCCATCAATAGGAGACCAGTTAAACTGTGGTATATCTATATAACGAAATACTGTCAATACTAATGAATAGATGTGTTAATATGGAACAATCTCCAAATATATTCTTAAGTGAAATAAGAATACTACATATAGTATGTTGCCATTTGTCTTTTTTTTTTTTAAGCAGGAGGGAAAGGGATATATAGATTATATTAGTATAAAATCTCTCTTAAAGGACTATCAAGAAAACAGCAAGAAGTGGTTCTCTTTAGACCAGGTACCAGAGGTTCAGGGAAGAAAAAAGGCTTCTTTGTAACACAGTCACGCACTGCTTAATAACAGGGATACGTTCTGAGAAATATATCGTTAGGCAATTTCGTTGATGTGTGAATGTCATAGAGTGTACTTACACAAACCTAGATGGGACAGCCTACTATACACCCAGGCTACATGATACTATCTTACGCAACCACCGTCATATATGTGCTCCTAGATGGGACAGCCTACTATACACCCAGGCTACATGATACTATCTTACGCAACCACCGTCATATATGTGCTCCATTGTTGACTGAAACATCATTATGTGGCACACAAATGTACTTTATATTTTAGAAGTTTTAGATTTACATAAAAAGTGAGAAGACAGTACAGAGAGGTTCCCATATAACTTGCACTCAGTTTCCCCTATTATTAACATCTTACATTAGTATGGTATTTTGCTACAATTAATGAACCAGTATTGACACACTACTATTAACTAAAGTCCACAATTTATTCAGATTTTTAAAGATTTTACCTAATGTCCTTTTTCTGTCCCAGGATCCCATCCAGGATACCACATTACATTTAGTTGTCATGTCTCCTTAGACTCTCCTTGTCTACGACAGTTTCTTTGACTTTCTTTTTGATCACCTTGACAATTTTGAGGAGTAATGGTCAAGTATTTTGCAGGATGCCCCTCTAATGGAATCTGTACAATATTTTCCTCACGATTAGACTGGTGTTATGAGTTTTTGGAAGGAAACCACAGAAGTGCCATTTTCATCATATCATATCAAAGGTACATAGTATCAGCATGATTTAGCACAGTTGATAAGGAGACTTGTTTTTCATCATATGCCATTCTGTGCCATTTGAAATTTTTAAGCCACGTATATGTATTACCTATTCAAATAATGTTTTCTAAGTTTTTGTCTTTCATATGTGAGGAGACAGTAATCCATTTTCAGTAGAGCCTGCCTTTGGGTGACTACTTTTCCTGATCAATTCCCCAGATAACCTATTGATGCTTTCCTTTTGAAACCAAAAGTGCAATCTGTAGAACAGCTTCCAGGAGTAAAAGCAGAGGAATACCATCAAGTTAAACAGCTCACTGCACAATCAAACACACCACAGTCTGTCCTCACAAACGACAGGACAACTGACCTCTCAAGGAAAAGATCTGCAACTAATTATCTGAAAATCAATATAGCCCTTAATTAAAGAACCTTTTTTACTCTGCCACAAAGAATATCAAGCAACCCAGCAGCCCCAACAGTTAAACCCTCGATCCACTATACAGCAAGAACAGTGAGTTTTGTTTTTCACAGCTTAATGTCATTTCTTACATGTCATTATTGCACCAAAGTGACAAATTCCTTTTAAAATTAAAAGGAATATCATAGACATGCTTGACTTTCTCATTAGTACAGAACACAAATTTCTCCCCATAACATTTTTATGACTCATCAATAGGCAGAGTTTATGGAAAACTTGAAAAAGGTCAAGAGAAGCAATGAATCAAAAGGAAAGCTGGAAAATACACTATATTTAGGCACCTTA